TACGTAATGATCTGAAAGATGAAGCTGATAAATTTGACATTGTGTATAAATACTTAAATGAAGACAATAAAATATGGACTATTATAGTTGAAGTAAGTTCATATTCTTATGCTAAAATCATGGATACTAAGAAACTTTATGTTGGAACGAATAGATGTCCTGTGTTTGATGATTTCAACTTAAACATATGTTACAAGTGTTCAAAGTATGGTCATAGTAGTAAGAAATGTAGAAATAATGAAATATGTGGTTATTGTGCTCAGAATCATTCGAGCAAAAACTGTCAACAAAAGGACGACACTAAATGTTCTAATTGTATAGACTTTAATAATAGATATAATCAAAATAGGCCGATCAACCATGCAGCTGGAAATAGGAATATCTGCCCATCTTACAAAGCACTTCTTGGTAAATGCATCGCTAAAACAGACTATCCATATAATCCACTCAACAACACAAGTACTATCATAAGTAAGAAGGCAACAAATATTGCAAGAAATAATAATGGCTCTTAATTTGGATTTTCTTGATAACATACAGAAAGATTTGATACATAGTGAAGAAAGCTGTAATGATGTGGAAGCTTTCAATAGAAATGTAAATAGTAATGATAATATAGTACTAAATATAAATATTAGGAGCATAGATGCTAATTTTGAAAGCCTAGAAATTTTTGTTGCAAGCTTGTATATCAAACCTTTTATATTTGTTGTACTGAATCTTGGAACATTGTAAATAATAATTTTTTATAATTTGGCAGGCTATAGAATGTATTACAATGAAAGTAAGTTAAATAGGGCTGACGGTGTTGTTATCTATATAAAAAAGTGATATCATAGAGGAAACTGAAATTATCGAGGTTAATAAATTAAATATAATAAACACTTCTATCAAAATGAATAATGGTAACAACATTGAAATATCGGCTTTATATAGATCTCATAGTATAACCAAAGCTGAATTTATTTATAATTTAAAATCATATTTAAATGAAGTTAAAAAATATAGAAATCACTTTGTGGTTGGTGATTTCAACATTGATTTGCTAAAATGTGATATTTACTCGCAAGAATTTTTAAATAATTTTCTTGAAATGGGGTTTGTACCAGGTTTCCAGAACACCACTAGACCATCGAATACAGAAAATATTAGTGGGACTTGCATTGATAATATTTTTTTATAAAATTGATAACTTAAATGTAAAAACTTATACAATTAAAATACTATAACGGATCACTATACTCTACTTGTTAAAAAAAAAAGAATAAACTATTTCAAGAAATAAAACAAACTAAAAATTTTAATATAAACTACAACATATTATTGAACAATGCATGTAACACTAACTGGAATGAAGTGTACAATATGAATGATCCAGATGTTGCTATTAATTTTCTAATCTCGAGCATTAAAAATTGTATTAGTAATTCAATGATTGTGAACAATAAGAAAACGAGACATAGAAAGAACTGGATTACTAATGATATTATACAATTATGTAATAAGAAAGATAAACTGTACCATGAGTGGATTAAAGATAGAAGCAATGATGAATTAAAATTAAAGTACAAACAATTTACGAATAGGCTAAGTATAATTATTAAACATGCTAAAATAAATTTTGATAAGAATCAAATTAGAAACAACGCTAATAACACAAGAAAACTGTGGGATTTTGTAAATGCTAAAATATCAAAGAAAACCAAAAAAGAAACAAAGATTGACTATTTAATAAACGAGAACAACCAAAAACTTACTGACAACTTACAGATAGTAAATACAATTAATAATTATTTTAGCTCAGTTGGAAGAAAATTGAGTAATAAAATAGTAAAGCCACTGGATCAGTCATTGAGAATGCCAAAATTAAATAAGAAAACTATATTCATAGAACCTACCAGTCCTATAGAGATTTATAATATAATTACTAAATTTGAATTCAAAAAATGGTGGAGTCGATATGATCAATACTAAAGTATTAAAAACCATTGCTGATTTTATAGTAGAGCCACTAAGTTACATATTCAACTTATGCATCGAGAAATCGACTTGGCCGGTAGCACTTAAATTAGCTGATATAGTTCCCATACATAAAAGTTCAAATAAATCTATGGTATCTAACTACAGACCTATCTCTTTAATCTCGAATATTGCAAAAATTTTTGAAAAAATTGTTCATTCAAGAATTTATAAATTTATTATAAATTGTAATATTTTATCTAAAAAACAATTTGGTTTTATTAAAAGAATAGGAACTGCAGACGCTTTAAATCATATAACTAACATCATTTATAACAAATTAGACAAAAGCAAACCAGTATTAATAACTTTTTTTAGATCTGGCAAAAGCCTTTGACACGGTAGATCATGGTATATTATTGGATAAGCTTTCATGTATGGGAATTAGAGGCAAGGCCAATGAACTAATGAAAAGTTATCTTGAGCATAGAAAGCAGAGAGTTAAAATTAATGATTATATAAGCGAGAATAAAGATGTAACTATTGGAGTGCCTCAAGGAACTATCCTTGGGCCATTGATGTTTATTTTATATGTAAATGATTTATTAATTGGCATACAGGATGGTTGTATAATATCGTATGCAGATGATACTGCAATCATTGCTACTGAGGACACTTGGGAGCAAAGTATTAAAAAAATGAATGAACTACTAGATAAGGTTGCAAATTGGCTTGCACTTAATAAACTGTCTTTAAATATTGATAAGACTGTTTTCATGACTTTTGGAAATTACTCAGATAGTGTTCCTAAATTAGTTGAAATAAAAATTAAAGACATATATGTAAAAGAGTTGATTGTTGTAAATATTTGGGTATTATTTTTGACTCTAATGTAAAATGGGATAAACAAATTGAATATCTGATTAGCAAGACTAAATATTTAATTTTTGTTTTCTATAAACTAAGAAAATACATGGATGTTGAAATGCTTAGAACAATTTATTATGCCTTCTTTCAAAGTGTTATTAGTTATGGTATTATAGCATGGGGTGGTGCTTATGATAACTATTTTACGCTATTAAATACATTACAGAGAAGAATACTGAAAGTAATCAACAACAACTCTTTTGTAATAGACAAAAATCCATTAAGTATTGAACAAATTTATAACTTAGAAGCAATAACTTTTCACTATGATCTTAAAAACAAATATATAAACTCCAAAAGTATTACAAGAAACAAAAACATAATTATACCAAAAAATAGCAAAAGAATAAGTGATAAAGACAGTTACATTAAAGCGATAAAAATTTTCAATCTCTTACCAACTGAATTGAAAAAATTTAACAGTGGAAAAGAAAAATTTGAAGAGAACTATCAGGTTTTGGCTAAAGCGGAATACTGATCGCCTGTAGCTTAAGTTATAAGTAATTGATCTTTATTTTTGTTTGTATTTATATTTATTTTTGTTTCATACTTCTTGGTTTTTTAGTTTTTTAGTTTTTAGTTGTTAATTTTTTAAGTTAAACCGGTCCGCGTACAGAGCTCTGTCTCTCTGCGGTTTATCATGTATTTCTACATTGTAAATTAACTGGTATTAATAAATAATAAATAAATAAATATACAGTTAATAAATAAAAACGCTGATTAAGTTTTCATTTGGCTTTTCATTATTTTTTTTGGTTTAAAAAAAACGTTTCAGCTAACATTATAGCCTTAATCAGTGCTGTGTCATATGATTTTTTGTTATTATAAACCAACAAAAATAATGAAAAACCAAATGAAAACTTAATCAGCGTTTTTCCCGAGCCTAAATCCCAAGAAAATCAAAAATTTTAGAATAATTTTACATATAAAATGACAACTATCTTTATTTCATTGCCATCTCTGACGCCTTTTTTCCTATGATATTGTATTATTTGCAAATATAATTTTTCGAACATTAATACTTGCACAATATACATATAAATTTTGTGAATGCAAATAATAATACATCACTATTAGTAGATATTGAATGTTTTTTTGTTAAATTAAATATTAGATGCATATGAAAGCATCAGAATTAATAAATGTAAAGATAGTATGAACAGAGACAACGGTCCAATTCCTTCAAGTTCTTTGTTCCTACTACTCTAGTGGCGGAAATCTAACTGTTACGGTCAGTGGGCTCTGACTCGGTTGGCTAGATTTTGCCACGCCCACTCGGTGCCCACTGGGCGAGTAATAAACGCTCAACTTGTAGATTGTACTTTAGTTTATAATCATCTGCTGATGATGCTAACATGGTTAGCGAAACGCGCGTCCAGTGTAAAAGTAAAAGTGTTTTGGTGTATTGTGGTGATTTAGTGTTTTTATTTTGCAAATTAAATCGATTTTCAAACCAAAATTTAAAATATATTTTACATTTTCCCATTATCTTATGTACCTATTCATTATTTGTATATTGTAAACCATTTGCTGCATTTGTATGGTTCATAGTTTATTTACCAAAGTATTTATTACTATAAATAGGTATTTAATATATTGTATTTATTAACTGTATATTATGTATATTTCATGTGAACTATATGATTTTTAAAATACAAACCAAAAACACGAGGAATAATTATGTTTTCCATGTATTCTACAACATATTTATTAATCCGTAGTATCTAACTAGCGTGACGTCATAAATCCCGCTCCGTGGCTGTTCTATTAGAGACGGCATTGGTTTGATGTTTAGAAATGCCAAAAACTGATGACATTTGACTTTTGACAATTATACCATTTCGTGTTGATTTTTGCAAGAAGAGGCAGAACTGTGACTTGTTTTATAATTTTCCTTTTCTATTTCTCGAAAGTAAAAAGAGTTACCTATCTGATTCGTTCAGTCACTCAATTTAAAGAATATCAGTAACTTTATTGATAGAGGTATTTTATATTTGCCATGTTGTAACGCCATGTTGTTGGTAAAAAATAACGGTGAAAATTCAAAGTTATTCATTTTATAGACTATATTTTATTTTTAATACTGAAATTAAACTTTATCAATAAAATTTTTACTGACATTTGGAAAAAAAATTCTTTCTTATTTTACCAAAATTTTACAGTATATTACATGCCGTACCGTGCATAACCTCTTGTAAAAATACCGGAGTACCCGCCCCAAGACCGCCATCTGTCTTTTCTTGTTCGTTTTGTTCGTATTCGCAGTCGAAATAGTGACTTTGACAGTCGTAGCACCTACAGTGATCTGACATTTTGCAAGTGATCCCGAATTGTTTGGCTACAGCCCTGAAAGAAAAAAAATGACTCAAAATTACTGTAAACCTCTGCAATTTTTTGCTATTAATGGTATTAATATTTTAATAAAGAATTAAAAAAAAACTTATATTTTATTATATTATCTTACTTGTAAAATTCCTTGCTTGACTTGTGCATAATTTCTTGTGCTTTGGGTGGAGTGGTAGGGGATTGTGTGCTTTGTTGTTGCTTAAGTCTTTTCTAAAATAGAATAATACACAATTTCAAACAATATCACAATGATACATGATTAAATAAGGCTTAATTTTAAAAACTAAAAATAACTTTGATGAGATTTAAAGAAAAGTGCATCATGACAGACAAAATTATGAAACATCAATATTTGATATATTTTCTTTTTACAGCGCTATGGTCTAAAATTTAGTTTCGATATGTGGATAATACTTTCATAATCTAGAATGGAACAGATAAATAGTTTGCAGAATGATTTTTTTATAAAAATAGGAATAAATATTTTACCTCTTCAAGAACGAATTCGTAGGATGGTGGAGGACTAGCAGGTACAAGGTCCTTAATACCATCCTTAATATTACTTTCATCCGTTGCTTCTGTGTTGTTTAAACTATCTGTGTTGGTTTGATCGTTATCTGTATCATGGTCGTTACCGTTTAAGGCATTTTCGTTACCTGAATCAAAATAAATATACAGGGTAGTCCGAACTGTATTCCGGAAACTTTGGCAGCATATTCTGCAGATAAAAATAAGTAAAAAAGATCGTATAAATGTGTGTCCTAAATGCTTAGTTTCGGATATACAGGGTGTAGAAGTTTGATTTTTATTTCGATTTTTTCCAAATAAGTTCTGAAGTAACGTCAATATTTAGATGAAAATTGGTGTCTGGGAATTTTTTGACATGAGAAATTTGATTTTGATGTCAGGTTTGAAGAGTAATAACTTTTTGTCCGTACCTGTATAAAACTACTGAGTAAAAAAATATACATTCACGACATTTTTTACGTAAAAAAGGTCTCTTGGTACAAATTGCTACGAGTAATAGTTCTTGAGATATTTGAAATCGAAATTATCAATACCTCCCATCGTTGACATAAATTAACCACGTTGACTAAATAGTTATTAGACTGAAATCATAAATTTGAAATGTTTTTGTGCCAAAAGTTCAACAGAAACTGTTTTTTCGTCATTTTTTCGATGAACAATTTATAATTAATTTAAAAAAATAAAAAGTTCTCAAATTAATAAATTTGAGAACAACCAAACCAAACATGTTTATTTTTTGTCAATAATGACATGTATTGACTATTTCTATTTGAAATATCTTGAGAACGGATGCTCGTAGTTTTTACCAAGAAACTTTTTTTACGAAAAAAATCACGGAAATGTATATTTTTTCACTCAGTGGTTTTATACAGGTACGGACGAGAAATGTTATTACTCTTCAAAACAGTTAAAACACTGTAGATGGCGCCCCTTACAAGTAGAAGTTTTAGTAGAAGTCATATTGACATCAAAATCAAATTTCTAATGTCAAAAAACTCTCAGACACCAATTTTCATACAAATATTGATGTTACTTTAGAAATTATTTGGAAAAAATCGAAATAAATATGAAACTTCTACACTCGAAACTTCTCCGAAACTAAGCATATTAGGACATACATTTATACGAAGTTTTTTAGTTATTTTTATTTGCAGAATATGCTACAGAAGTTTCCGGAATACAGTTCTTAATTCGGGACCACTACTTCTTAATTCGCGACCACCTTGCATACTACTTGTTAATTTTATAATATACAGTATGTTCCCGGATCGTATTTGCAAGAGAAAAAACTTTTCACAGCAAGGAAAACTCTTATACAGCTTAATGAACTCACTGAGAAACTCAATATTATTCTCTTTTTTGTATTTGATTAGCTGACTAAAATTAAAATAAGACCACACACTTTGTCTGTGTAACCCACCAAAATCAGGGGCTCAAATTTTTAATTCAATCTTCCGAGCATGTGCAGTTCTAAACGTTGTTCAAACTTGCAGTCCACACGCTACGTTTTATCTGTAACGTTTTGTAGACGCAAACAAACCGTACGATAAGTCGTTGTGTGTAGACCCCGCTTTAAACTAGCTATTCTAAACTACTAACCCTCTTCTAATGTTGGGGGTACGCAACCCTCCTTGGGACTGGCTATGTCTCCAGTCTCTTGGTCGGTCTCCATCGAGCTGCTCCTGTTCAGGGAACTCGATTTCGACATTCGGTTGAATTTGATTTTGAACGGCGCCAGCTTGATGCCGTTTATTCTTCGGTTTTTTCTTCTTCTTTTCTAGTCTTTAGGTCGATGGAAAACGCTGATAAAAGAACATCGCTGTATCATCTAACACTCTGAAATGATTAATTAATAAAAGGAATAAGGGTGGCTGGAAGTCCCGTAATCCTGCTGTTAAATAATAACATCTGGTTTTTCCATATAAAAACCAATTGTTATGTTTTAACAGCAGGATTACGGGAGGTCGTTGCAGCCACCCTAAGTAGAACTATCTTTGAATAAAAAGATTAAAAAAGAAGTATAATAATATTGTTGTATTCATGCATAGTAGACGGAATCGACATAGGTCCCAATGCTTGATAGTTCTGTTAGACGTTTCAAGTGAAACATTTGAAATTTTGGGGATTTTTATGTCTTTACTGAGCGTATTTTATGTTATTTATTCTACAATTCTAAATCTAGAAGGAAATTATGTAAGAACTTAACTTAACAGTGACACTATTGGGAATTATCGAAAAAGACTATAAAATAGTTGGTTTGGTTTGGTGCGGTAGATCTCGGTCAAAAATCGAAGGAAATAATGGAATATATTTTCACTGGTAAGTGACTATACCGTGTGGTGCATCGGAACGCGGGACATAAGAAATCCCATGTAAATTTTGAAAAGGTCAAATATTATCTCCACAGATGATTTTCTGCAAAAATTGTATTATACTTCTTTGAAGAGGCGTTAAGTATTTTGAATGCCTAATATCAGAGATTAAGAAATTATACCGTGGGAAAATTTGCGGTGAACAGGCAGTTCTAAAAAGTTTTCGAAAAATATACAGGGAAATTTAAAAGAAAATGCACGATTTTAACATCTTTTTTGCGAAAAAAACATCATAGACGTGTTCCTGGGGTCGAAATATACCAGCCCTGAAAATTTTTGCACTTAATTTAAGACTCACCCTGTATATCAAAAATAATTAATATAGTTTTATTTGATTTACGCCAACGTGCTTCAGTAGCGTATTATAATTTATCTATTTTTATTAAAATTATACCGTATGGTCGAAAAAAAAGCGGCGTCAAAGACGGCTTGCAAATAACAATCGATGATAATTTTGGCGAGGTCAATCTCTAGATATAATTTACTAAAAATTGATATAAAACTTGTCAAAAATTAACACCAATTATAGAAAGATTAAAAAAAGAATAGGACATTTCAAGACACACAAATCTATTTCCAAAAAAAATATTTTTCTTGAAACTACACCATTTAAAAATCATAATAAATTAAAAATCGTAAGTAAATCGTATTTTCTGTCATTTTTTGAATGTCACCTGTCAAAACCTTCCCTGTATGGCAAACCTGATGAGCCTTTACCTAACAGAAAAAAAAACAATAAAAAGTGAAAGAGGATTAACCAAAACGTCACGAGCTCTAACGAGAATCGGCGCCATATTTAACGACTCATTTTCCGCTGATTTAATTGCCAGCGAGATTAAACAGTAATTAGAATTTTCTCAGTAATGACGCGTCCTGGGAACAGAGCGAAAATCGGGATTAGATTGATATAAACGGCCTGATTTTCGAAGTAATCGATAACGCTTTTAATGAGCGAGGAAAATCTTGACGAAACAAAGTTAGCTTCCTAATTTAATGAGAAGAGCATCAAAGGTATTTACTTCTGAATTAAGAGATCATTTAAATAGGTGTACAGGAATCCCTCATTTTACACGTAGATTATGTTTTTTTTTCGTGAAAATATAATTTTAAATTTTGTACTTTTTAATTTTTTTTTGGAAAATGTTTAATTTTCTTTAAAAAACATAATATCTTGATAATTTGGCAACATAGCAGTTTTTTTTTAAATTTCAAAGTAAAATAACTCGGCTAAGAGATTTACCAGATCTGAAAATACTTGTTTTCTCCTTAGAGAGCAGATAAGAGTTTTAAATAAATGCCCCAAGACTGGAATAGCACAAACATAACACTAGTTTATAAGAAAGGCAGCAAAGAAGACATCAGGAACTGTAGACCCATAAGCCTACTACCAATAACATACCGGGTGTTGCATCGTCGGACGGGACATAGGAAATCCCATGTAAATTTTAATGGGGTCAATTATTGGCTTCCCTAATTATTTTAGAGAATAATTCTATTTAGGTTTATTGAAGAGCACTAAAACCCACATTCAAAAGAATAACTTTAGATATGTTTGATTAGCTCGTTTACGAGTTATCGCCGATTTCTTTTTAAATATTTCTCCTTTCTTATGGCCCTGTATTTACTTATGAGCACCAGTCAAGGTAAAAGATAACTGTCAAATGAAGTTGTAATTTCAGAAATTTACCTATTTAGTGCTTTATTATTATTGAAAACTCATTCCTACATTGGAAATCCACCGGAAATCTTAAAGATGTATTTATAAATACAAATTAATATGAATTAAATTAAAATAAAGTAATCAAGATATAAAGATATTCACAAAACTAGTAAACAACAGCATACAAAACGCTAGACACTGCACAGCCACGAGAACACAAGGCTTTAGAAAAATCAGCCGAACAAAAGAATACAAACTTCCACTAGCCATAGCCTTTATAGGCTTTGAAAATGCTATCGACTCGATATACAGGGTGTTTCAAAACAAATGCGAAAAACTTCAGGGGGTGATTCCTTCTTCAAAATAAAGGGTAGTTTGCTTCATAAACGTTGGGTCAAAAGTCAACCATTAGGGAGATATCGCGGTACAAAGATGGCGGAAAAATAATGTTCTTATTTTTTATCTTAAAAACGAAAAGAGATAGATTAATGAAATTTTATGGAAGCATTACTGTTATGAAAACACACTTTCTGGTAATTTTTTCACTTTTTTAAAATGAGTGGAAGGGGTTGAAATAAACTACCCCTATCATTCTTGTTAACGAAATTTAAAGAAAACTCTTATCAAACACATGCAAAAAAATTAATTTGGATAGTTTAGTTTGTTTAGAAACTTTTTTATCTCTTGTATTTTTTTTATAAAACTCACCGATTTGAAATTAAAAAATAAAATGTAAAGCATTACATGTCAGGACTAAAAATATTTTTAGATTAAGAATCTAGTGATAATAATGATAATAATAATAATCTAGATAATAACGTATTGCAGTAGAGTAATGTCAAATAAAACAATATTAGAAACATCCTAAAAAGTGACAGCGGCCGACTAGATTTTTTCCTAAAAAAATTACAGCTGCCCACTAGATTCTTCATCTAAAAATGTTTTTTGTCCTGACATGTAATGCTTTACATTTTATTTTTTAATTTCAAATCGGTGAGTTTTATCAAAAAAACACAAGAGATAAAAAAGTTTCTAAATAAACTAAACTATCAAAATTAATTTTTTTTGCATGTGTTTGATTAGATTTTTCTTTAAATTTAATTAACAAGAATGATAGGGGTAGTTTATTTCAACCCCTTCCACTCATTTTAAAAAAGTGAAAAAATTACCAGAAAGTGTGTTTTCATAACAGTAACGCTTCCGTAAAATTTCATTAGTCTATCTCTTTTCGTTTTCAAGATAAAAAATAAAAACATTATTTTTCCGCCATCTTTGTACCGCGATATCTCCCTAATGGTTGACTTTTGACCCAACGTTTATAAAGCAAACTACCCTTTATTTTGAACAAGGAATCACCCCCTGAAGTTTTTCGCATTTGTTTTGAAACACCCTGTATATTAAGGCAATAATAGAAGCAATAGCAATAGTAAAACAATTTATTCTTACCAACCCGCAAAGGAGTATAAAAGAGAGACGCGATATACCCAAAGGTGTTTGGTTTGGTTAGTTCTTAAGGTTACTTCTTAAGAAATCTTCCGTCAACTGGACTGGACCAACAAAAGATTAAAAATATATGCAGAATATCATAACCATCTAAGATTCGCTGATGACATAGTCCTAATTGCCAATAGTCCTGAAGAACTACAAACACAAATTAATGAACTAAATACAGCCAGCAACAAAGTATGTCACTCTCAAAATGAATTTAGCAAAAACTAAAGTAATGTACAACGAACTAGTAGACAAAAAAGATATTCTTATAAATAACACAACACTGGAAATAGTAAAAGAATATATATATTTGGGACAACTAATACACAGGTCGGGATCTCTACTACCAGAAATCAACAGTAGAATTAAGTTTCATGTAGTACTCATGGAAGAGACTCAATCATATTCAATCTAGAATGTATCAATCTAGAAATATCAATCTAGAATGCCACTTTATCTAAAGAAGAAAACATTCGACCAATGTGTACTACCAGTCATGACCAATGCATGCAAAACCTGGACACTTAAAACGGACATTATAAGGAAACTACAGGTCGCACAACGCTCAATGGAACGAAATATGCTGGGAATAAAATTGTAAAAGTATATTCATCAAAAGAACATTCATCAACAGAATCAAACTCCTCAAATGGCAGGACACCTGGCAAGAAGGACGAACAACAGATGGACCACAAAAATTACAGCATGATACCTACGAGGAATTAAGAGGCCTAAAAGAAGACCAAACCTGAGAACCATAATATTAGGAAATTAATAATTAATTAAATGAAAAACAAAAAATCCGGCGACGACAGTTTTTAGAAGAGCCAATTAGCTACCTTTTAGTAAAAAAAGCAACTTTCTAAAGCAAGTCGTTACTTCAGTAGAGACGACATAGATAAACATTAGCATTTGATATATGTAGATATAACAAATATTATAAAAAATATTAGTAAAATAATCTTCGAATCGAATTACTTCTTGTTTATTTTAACAAAACAATTAATCCTTTATCGTTACGCCACTGTATACTTATTATTAATGCTCATATTTATTTTTTATCGATTATATTGAAACAGAACACTCAGCACTTTTCAGTAGAATTTACTTTAGTTTTTGGAAGCAAGTCTCAAATAACTATCTATCATAATCTATCAAGATATGAGACACATATTGTTGTTCGATCAAATTCTCAAATAAAAACTATATAAAAAGGTTTTATGCCTCCTTTATGTATAATTTGAAGCTAGTATTAAACAGGTACATGTAGAATTATAAGAGAATATCTAAGATACAAAACAAATATTAAAAAATTAAAAATTATAATCTTTAAAAAATTGTAAATGTAAATTTTCAGGTATTTGTCACATACATAAATAAGTATTTTTTACCACAAACGTAACATTTACTTACCAGAACATATAAGCTTTCTAGGTGAAGCTTTCCACCACATAGTTTCAAAAAAATATCGGAATTTTCCAATGATTTTCACTGGCAATGCCGCGGGGAAAAATATGTAAACATTGACGGAATTTAGGCCAAAAGTATACACCTACATGTTAGTTGAGGATATTGACTATAGAGCGGCTCAAAGTGCGTTAGAGTGCGCAGGATTTGAACAGGATTATAATAGAAAAAGAAAGTTTTCGTATCCTAGCGCATTCGCCAAATTTTAAAAGATTCAATATTAGAAAAAGAAATTCTAACAAATATACCTTAAATCTTATTCAATGGTAATTACTTTACTTTGTTTTTATTAAAAAGGGATCAAAGTGTGATAGAGTGCGCAGAATTTGAGCAGGATTGTACAAGGTGGCGCACCTCATTCGCCTCGGTTGATTATACAAAAACGGATAGATGTAGAAACAAAATATTTCATGGGTATATGTGGGAAGGGAATGTGCATAATTTAAATTAATTTGAAATGTACAGGGTATTAGTTTGAAAGAGCATTTGAATCTGCTTCGATTTATTTAAAAAAATACAGGGTGTTTCATTTGACATAACAAAGTTTTTATATAAAATAAATCCATATAATAGATCAGCAATTTTTCGTACCCCTGTATAAATTTAGGAAGCGATAACATTTTTCAGTACAGTTTATGTCTCCACCTTTAAACTCAGCACAAGAATTAATTCTGAAAATGAATGTACAGTATGTTAATCTATTCTATTGTAGCGTGGATATTTAAATATTTTTAAATATCTCAAAAACCAAAGATTTTAAATGTATTTAACCCTTATAATATATGCCTTTTTTGGGACCAAGAATCCAAAAATTAAATAAAATACCGGGTGTTCCATAAGAAAAAATATAACTTTGGTATGGATCTTAGTTCTGAAACGCCCTGTACATTTCGCCAAATTTTAAAAGATTTAGTATTAGGGAAAGAAAATAAATGTTTTTAATAATTATTACTAAAAATGGCTCAAAGTGTGATAGTAGCGTTGAATTTCAGCAGGATTACATAGAAAAACGTTTTTCGTATCCTAGCGCATTCTCCAAATTTTAGTAGAATAAATATTATCCCAACGACCGCATACCCAGGGTAATTCTAGGAATATACCAGTTATAGCAGGAATATATCTGCAATATTCCTCCCCCCCAACGGATATATACCCTACACCTATTGGGTATATACCATGTATATACCCAAATTTTATTTATCTATTCATTGGGTATCTACCCACCGCCCATAACTGGTCATCAACAATCAATCTCATTTTGTGAAATAAAACAATTATCCACAAAAAATAACTCTTTATTATATCAAAAACAAAGCATCTCAATTAAATAAAATCTAAGAAACTAACCTAATAATTTGTTAATGTTTTAACACCTAAAATCTAGTTTCATAAACAGCCATCGAAAAGGAAAAATTGTACATTTTTCCCCAAAAAAAAACATCAAAATTATTTTAAACAAAATAAATCGTAGTATTCCGTGTGACACAAAGCTAACATTAAAAAATAAAAAAAAACTAACACATATAAAGAACATAGAAAATTATTAAACGATTTATAAAATACTTATTATAGTATTATTAGTAATAATAGTAATAACCGAAATACTTCCCTGTAAATCAGTATGGTTTATTGCCATAGTAGGTAGCATAGTCCAAATATTGGACATAAAAAAATAATTAAAGATTTCTGTAATACATAGTGATGAAATTACATAAATTCATATACAAGGTAAACTCTAGTATACGACATTAATAATGTTACATATTGAAAAAATATGGTTATAGTTGAAAAGTTGAAATAGAAATGTTAATTTCAGTATCTACATAAAATAATGTTTATTATTTTATAATTATATATCTGGTGAATATTTTTTGAGATTTAAACAATTTTTTATTAAATTTTAAATGAGGATATTCGTCATAATTAAAAAAACTTAATAAAGATTTGAAGAATATCCCACTAAAAATTTATCAAAAAACTGTCTTGTCCCACTGCAAAAAATTGTAGTATTTCGAATATTTTATCATTTAAGTTATAGTATCATAACTTTAATACGTCATTGTTGTTTTTTTAATAAAAAAAAGCGTCGTAATAAGCTTAGAATAAAGATCTTTACTCGCGTTCATCGCTGTCATCCTCCTCGTCGTACATCTCCATGTTGAATTCCTGCTCTTTGGACTCGTGCGCTTCCGATATTACGTGAAACCTGAGCTCGTGCAGGAACGACAGTTCTATATTACACAGGAGGCATTTGATTGGTTCGAATTCTTTAGCGCTGTAACAAAAAACACATATTATTGAATGGTTAACGCTCCAAAGACATCTGACTTAAATGAGATTTTAAATAGGCTTATTTCAAAGTCGATAGAGGACAAAGAAATAGCAATGGCCGCTTTTTTAGATATTGAGGGAGCATTCAATAATGCTACTACCGACTCATTAGTAAATGCAATGAGTAGAAGAGGTACACCTGCAGTAGTATGTAGATGGATAAGGGCCGCCTTAGAAAACAGGATAGTGACTTCCACTCTGGGGCAAGCTACTATCAAAGCAGTAGCGGGTGGAGGTTGTCCACAGGGAGGAGTGTTATCTCCTCTACTTTGGGCAACCTTGGTAGATGACCCCCTCCACGAACTGTCCACACAAGGTTTTTATTGCCTAGGATATGCAGACGACATCGTAATTGTGGTCAGGGGCAAGTTTGCTGGTATGATATCAGAAAGAATGCAGACAGCCCTAAACAAAGTTGACAAGTGGTGCAAACAAGAGAGACTGACAGTCAATGCTCAGAAAACACAAATTGTCAATTTTACAAAAAAGATAGCACCAAAAGACCTAAAACCACCAGTGCTAGGAGAAACGGAGATTTCATTTGCCAAAGAAACAAAGTATCTTGGGATATTTTTTGATCAAAGGCTTACATGGAATACTCACATAGCGAAAGCAACATAGAGGGCTGCCATCTCTTTAGGTAGGTGCAGAAGGATGTGTGGAAAAAACTGGGGACTTAACCCTAAAATGACTCTATGGCTATACACAAGGGTAGTAAGACCCATGATAACCTACAGGTCGGTGGCGTGGTGGACAAAGACATCGCAAGTGGGTGCGGTAAGGCTGTTAAGTTCCACACAAAGGCTTGCGTGCCTGTGTGTAACTGGGGCCATAAAAACCACTCCTACAAATGCGGTGGAAGTCTTGTTGAACTTACCACCACTACATATTTTCATACAAGGTGAAGCCAGATCTGTCATGCACAGGTTAATTCACGGTCAGCAGCACATAAGCCAAACGTATAGTGCTGCTAACCAGAAGCTAATCGAAGAGCTAAAAGCAGACAAAGTATTGGGATTACCAATTGATGCAACAGCTACTAGGTATAGCTTCAACAACAAATTTAATATAACCATACCAGGGAGGGAAGACTGGAGTAAAGGTGTACCCATTCAAGCTGAGGCAACCTGGTATACAGACGGCTCAAAAACGTCAGAAGGCGTAGGAGCTGGGATAGTAGGGCCGAAACAAGGGAGATCCTTCCACGTAAGCCTATCCAAGGATGTCACAAGGGTTCAGTCTCCAAGTTGCTAAACTTTGTGAAAAGGATAGGACTGGAGAATGTAATCTAAGGATCAGAAGAGGACCACAATAGATCTGAGAAGGTCGCAGTGGATCAGGCCGAAAGCCACCTCTAAGAATCTAATCTAATCTAATCTAAATGAGATTGCTAAACTACTCAAAACCTATTATCGCATATTTTCTAAAAAAATATTAATTTGAAAAACAAAACACTTTGAATTCCCTGTATTACACTGGACAGTAAACTTCTCTGGAACAGGCCTAATAAGAACATAACTTTTAATTTGATTTTTTTCTACAACACTTATTGTTTTTGTATTCTGTAATGACGCTATTTCATTTGGTGCCTGTATGTTTTTGTAAGTTAAATGCAAATACAGGGTGGCGCGTCTCATACGCCGCGGAAGCTCCAAGGAGAACGGTAGTTTATATCGAAATGGAATTTATATCGAAATGAAAAAAATGTTGTCGACAATAATGTTGTCGACAATAATTGGTCGAGTTTTTTAAACACTGTCTTTAACATATCCATAAAAAAACCAGACTAGATAAAATCAGGAGCATTTAAGTATTCTATTAATTGGTGAATGCACACTGCAGTCCCAACTAATAGAATCAAATCAATTCTCTCTGATGTAGGATAAGTTTGCATTTTCAGCAAATTTCTGAGAATTGTTTTTGTTTTAACTGACACAAAATGGATAACTAGTTGTTGAAGTTGGACTAATTAGACAGCTATGTTGAAGTAACGTCAGACATATCACAGCCACCTAGATTTTATCAAATAATAAAGATCTACTCAGATCAAATCATCTAAATGAAAATATTTAAGAAAATCTTTGTTTGAGGGGTAGGCAACCTTAATAGTATTTTGAAGAGACATGAATCCTCCATTGAATATCGGTATAATATACTGGGTGTCCCATTTAAAATAAAAGAGTAATATGCTTTTAAAGGTGACCAATGTTCAATATTAATTTTGTCTCGCCTTGTATAACTTTTTGGATGAACTTTTAATTTGATTTAAAGTACAATAGTTAATTTAACTACATATTAGGCTATACCGGATAAATTCCAATTTAGGTAGCTTTTATTGTAATTTAAAAATTGTTCTTTATTTCTAGAAAATGTTAAATACATATTATGTCAAAAACCTTACATTTTAGTCATATACTTCTCTTATAAAACTCACCTTTATTTTTCTCCCAGAATCCGAAAATCAATTAATATATAGGGTGTTCCATTACAAAAAAACACAACTGATATGTAACTTTTTTGGGGGACACCCTGTAGAACTCTCTATATTTTTATAAAGTGCTCTGAATTAACCTACATATGCTCACAAAATTTCATTTCAATACGGACTGTCGTTCTCCTTGGAGCCTCCGCGGCGTATAAGAGGCGCCAGCCTGTACAGGGTGTCCCACTAAGAATAGCTCTCGGCTATATCTCGGAAAGTATTAGCCGTAGCGGCTGCGGAAAAAAATGTTTATAATCAAAGAGGCTATGGGAAATTGCTGGAAATTATTTTCAAGTTTGTAGAACGATCGCTAGGGGGCGCAACTGTAACAAAAAAATAAGAAAATGGAATTTTTACACAATTTTGCCTAGATAAGGTGTACTATAAGTAACAGCTTCATAATATTCAGTAAATTTTGAATATTTTTTGTTAGAGCCATTTTCCCCTATCTACCAAAATAAAGTGGTGAGGGAAGGTTAAATCTGTTTTTATTTGAATATTAGTAACTCTGGACTGGATGATCGGAATCCAACAAGCGAGGGCTCGTTTAAAAGAGCGTTTCTTACTCTATATTGAACCATATAAACAATAATAATAAGCTTTTAAACGTAGACGCTAGGGGGCGTTGTCTTACAATTTAACAAACTGCACGTTTTTTCAAAAAAATTAAATGCGTTAGTATATATAATTTTAGCTGATAGTAAAGAGTAGTAAAAGCTTAAAAAGTCAGCGAAAACTGCATCTTGATATATTCTTTCAAACCGAAGATATTAGCAAAATTATAATAAATACCAAAAAATAAGCCCTTAATTACCTTATTTTTACAACACGGTATCAGTAGCCCTCTTGATTATGCCCATTCTAACCTAAAAATAAGATAGAAACAGTCAGTTTATTTTAAAATCGACGATATACCAGAATATCATAATATCAGATGTATTAATATCTAATAATTAAGATATTATAGTTATCTAATAATTAAGATATTAATAGGGAACAAGAAACGATGATTTAGGGAAGTCATGGTAGGCTTTGGAAAAAAGTTGCTTTTCGCGTAATAGTATAAACGTCAAATTGTTATTAGATCAACATTTTGATAGTCTTAGCAGCGTTTTTTATCTTTTGGTTGCTTTTTCAAAATGCCAACAACTTCAACTACTTCATATAATAAAGGCATTTTGAAAAAGCATTTAAAAGACGCTGTTAAGACTATCAAAATGTTGATCTAATAACAATTTGACGTTTATACTATTACGCCAAAGCAACTTTTTTCCAAAGCCTACCATGACTTCACTGAATCATCGTTTCTTGTTCATTATTATTAATATCTTAATTATTAGATATTAATACATCTGGTATTATGGTATTCTGGTATTTCGTCGATTTTTAAATAAACTAACTGTTTCTATGTTATTTTTTTGTTAGAATGAGCCTAATCAAGAGGGTATTGTAAAAATAAGGTAATTATGGGCTTATTTTTTGATATTTATTATAAGTTTGCTAATATCTTCAGTTCGAAAGAAGATATCAAGATGCGGTTTTTGCTGACTTTTTAAGCTTTTACTACTCTTTACTATCAGCTAAAAAAACACATACTATCGTATTTATTTTTTTTGAAAAAACGCGCTATCTTTGTTAAATTGTAAAAAAGCGCCCCCTAGCGTCTACGTTCAAAACCTTATTATTATTATTTTTATGGTATAATATAGAGTAAAAAACGCTCTTTTAAACGAGCCCTGGTTTGTTGGATTCTGATCATCCAGTCCGGAGTTATTAACATTTAAATAAAGATAGATCTAACCTTCCCCCACCACTTTATTTTAGCAGATAGGAGAAAATGGTTCTAACAAAAAAAATCCAAAATTTACTGAAGATTATGAAGCTATTACTTTCCATAGCAGTTGCGCCACCTAGCGGCCGTTTTACAAACTTGAAAATAATTTCCATCAATTTCTCATAGCCCCTTTAGTTATAATATTTTTTTTTCCGTAAGCCCTATGGCTAATACTTTCCGAGATACATCCGAGAGCTATTCTTAGTGGGACACCCGGTACATGTAGTAGATATTATTTTGAAATAAAGATTATTATTTATTTATTTACTCTAGAAAAAGACAAGACAAAAAGATATTTACTTATAAAGCATGTTCTGGATGGTCTCCAAATTCTTCGTCACCTCCCTCTGTTGGCCGTTCATGTCGGCCAGCTTGAGGAACAGCAAAAGTTCCCAAACGTCTTGGTCTTCGTTGGTCAAGTTTGGACGCAACATGCCCAGACCACCGTGTATGCCCCAAGATGTGGTCGTTGGCGAGGCGGTTATCCTATCTATGGGTGTCCTCTCCATGTTGATCAGCCTAGATATAGAAAATTTCTTTATTTTTCCTTTTTAAAAATAGATTAATATTGACTCACCCAAACAAGTGTTCCCTGATTTTGACCTGGGTGTGCAAGAGCTCGTTCTGCGATGATCTGTTCTGTTCAACGTCGCCCATTAGTTTTAAGCCGGTGTTCATGAGGTATCGCAATTTGTTAATCTAGGAAAAAAATAGCAATAATACTAACAAGTATTGAAACTAAAAGAATTTCAGACTTCCAATGTCTTTATTTTGATTGCCCAAGTAGCATTTTTAGACACGACATTCGTCAAAAATTTTGATAACATGCAGACCAACTTTTATTGATTTTTCTATAGGCTTGGTGCATTCTTCGCCGGTGCTGCCACCATCGGAGAATATCGTGAATAGTGATGTTGGTCGCGAATATTTCCATTCGAATTTTGCAGGAAATTTCAGAAATTTCCGAAATATTCGGTCCCAAAATCGCAAATATTCGCAAAAATCCGAATTTTGTAAAAAAAATTCTTTTCAAAATTCAAGACATTGAGCAAAAATTTAACGAAAGTGTATCAAGTATGCCGATTCTTAAGTCAGAAGAAAAAGAATGCTTCTCCGCCTTACAAAATAAAAAACCTATGGCTCTTGAACCAATGCATTTTGCCGCGAATCTCTTGGACCCCTGTTTCCTGGGAGAGCACCTTAACAATGAAGAACATATAGCCGCTATGGAATTTATCAACAATATCACCAACAATCATCCTCAGTTTGTCAATAATAAGCCATTTTTACAGATGTAACAAATTATTGCGCCAAATCGGGTTTATGGGCTCTCGACTACGTTTGGAATGTCAGTTAAAAATGTAGACTGTCTAAGTTGGTGGCAAGCAATGTGTAAAAATACTCAGTTGAAATATTTAACTCTTGCTCTGCTGTCATTACCAACGTCATCTGCAGTCACAGAGAGAAGTTTCAGTACTTATAGTTTTATCCATACTAAAAAAGAAATCGGTTAACTGCACAAAGAGCCGGTAAAATCATGTTCGTAGCTCATAACAATAAATGATTACTACAAAAACAAAAAGTGGATATGGAGCATGATATTCAACAACATGAAATTCCTCCAGAACCACTAGAACTCGTGGAGGTAGAGGTCCATCCTTCAGAATCAGAACCAGATGGTACATCAAATATATCTGATTTGGAAATAGAAACTGACGAAGACAGTACTACTACTACTATCCTATGAAGATGGGACCAGCTCGGCGCCCTGATATTTCCAAATAGAATAATTCAGTTATTTGTGTTTTACGTTTTTTAAATTTATATTTCGTGCTTTTTTGTTTTTTTTTTAATTCATAGTCATAGTTCGTGGTTTATGCACAAAATACAAATGTTACCAAATGATTTTTGTTATGGGTTATGTTTATGACTTTTATGGGTTATGTATTGTTTATTAAAAATATAACAACTAATATTATGTTTATTGTTTTTTTCCACTTACATGTTGGTATCAAATGTCTATCTAATTTATTCCTTTATTGTATCGACAAAAAATATGTAAAGTTGTAAAATTTCCTAATATTTCATAAATTTCCGAAAGTTTCCTAAAGTTTCAGAAATTTCCTGCAACAATCAAAAATTTCTGAAATATTAACATCACTAATCGTGAACAACTAGTATATACAAATACACGGGTTTAAATAGCGATTATACGAAAAATTTATTATTTAATTATTTTAAAAGTGAGGAAGTATTTGTGAAAACTCTAAAAATAAAAATAAAAAAGTAAATATTTTGATATCTTCAGGAGGTCTAACTTGTATTATAATTTATTATTCCAGTTAAAAAAACTTTTTAGACGAGTTCAAATAGGGTAACGAGAATTAGCATAGTTTTAATCAACGGTTTTGCTAGTGGGGCATAATTGGGGCTATTTCGGCTACAACGAAATTTTTAAAGGTATATAATTATAATTTTAAAAGATGTTAATAAAACATTTAATCACTAATTGATTAAAAAAGTATACCATTAATTATATTTACATCACTATTTAATTTTTTGATTATGTAACGAGCACTTTGTTTACTCACTTGTTTCGTCGAACTGCTTGAATCTATTTTTGCCAAATCAAATCGGTATAAGAACGATCAAATCGGTATTTTACTACCCAAAACAGCGTTACATCACACAAACCTCGTACCTGAGTGTTTTATAGTCTCAATAACTATACTAGCAAAAAACTAAAATACTTAAATATTATGACAAAACCACGATTTCAATATTATTTTAATGCGATCAACATGATGGCGCGGCGGCGTGAAATACACACTGATAATTTCTGATTTCTGCCGTTAAAGCGCTGCGGTCGGAATTTGTTGAGATCAACTGAAATGCACCAAGCCGATATGTATATGACCATCAAATAATACCTTTTCTAACTCATCAATTTGCAGTTCTGTGTCCAATCTTAACAATATATCATCAGCAGGGTACAAAGCCTTATTTGTTGATTTGTTATAACCCAATCCACACAACACTGCAGCAACTAGTGAATTATCTTCAGTCAGTTTGGCTTCCATGGTCGGGCAGAATATCGTGGTGAGGAGCATAGGAAATCCGGGTACGTTTGGCAACAAGGTAGTTTGACGTAACATCAGTTTACCTGCGCCGGCAGTTTGGCCAACGTGAGCTGCTACCAGCAATCTAAAAGTTAAGAGTTATAAAATTCATAAGAAAGAAGAAAACTGCCTTAAAATAATCAAACTTCAACCTTTAATAACTTTCCAATGGTGAGGTTTACAAAAAAATGTAAGACACCTTTTTTGTAGAGAATTCAATTTCCTACAAATATATGAGACGATATATTTTCCAAATAGTAGATACCGAGATATGAATTTATGTTTCTAATAGTAAGGAAAAAATGAAAGGCGGAAGACCTTCCTATTAAAATTAAGAGCTCATGCTTTTTTTGGCGTGTCTACTAATCTTTTTCTCAGACTATAAAGTGAAAAAACAGTCGATTTTTTTGACCCACCCTAATCCACATGTATCTGTTCCTACACACTATGGAATGTAGAGATGATGAGAAATATCTCTTATGGGACTTTATTTGAAAAAAGTGGTCACAAAAATGGGAAGAATAAGGTTCACAAATGACCACAGTGGCGCTAACGACGCATAAATCTAAATAATGGAAAATAACCATAGATAAAAGAATAAAAGTAACATAACCAAACATTACCGAAAAAAGCTTTATTTTTATTTTTTAGAATATAAAACAATTATTTTTATATATTAGAAGTCCACTCTATTGCTACTGAACAAAAATCGATAATTTATTTTATGGGACATGAAAATAAAATTTGTATTTTTTTGAAACCCGCGCCTTCACGTCAAATATTTATCTCTTGAATCATTTCCTGTTCTAAAAATTTTCGGCGCATATTTTAAATTTTAGGTTTTTGCTATAGCAGCGCCATCCTAAGTCTTCCCTTTTTTATGACCATTTTTTAATGCACGAATATTTTTCTCCTTGCCTCTACACTCCATACTACGCACGTAAAAACCGGCAACACTACATGCCTCTATTTTATCTCTTCGTCAACCAGTCATTTATATTTCTCTGTTGTGTGCATTAAAATACAGACCACGCAGATAAAATGTCCAGAACTGTATATCTAAGAATAGGCCTAATTCATAAATAATAGTTTTTTTTAATTTACTAGCCGCCACTGAGTCTTACCTCGCGTGCGGACTGTCCGGCTCGGTGTCCAACAGCACCGCGTTCACCGAGCTCCCCTCTATATCGACGCCCCTGCCTGAGCCGCCGGCGGTGCACGCGAACAGTTTGGCCTCCAGCGGGCTGAAGGGACCGCGCAGGTCTACCAGCGTGAAGCGGCCTGTTTCGCGCAGCGGGTCGGCAAAGTCCGAGTAGCTGGCTATAGTGTCCACGTCCAGTCTTCTCGCCTCTTCGAAGGGATTGCCCGAGGCTTGGACTTGGGCTCGTTGCTCGTGGTTTTGCTGAAATAAATTTACGTTAAAGCTAACATAGCTTATACTCTGTTTTTTTTCAAGTAAGATTTCGACAAACGATGACAGAAGAAAAGCAGATGACGTCAAAAGCAAAAAGACTTAGGCTGTATTCCGTTGCAAAACCAGGCGAACCAGACCGGTAAAGAGCGGTTCCTGAAAAACATCGGTTTGATACGGAACGGTTTGGTAAAATATTGGAAACGTCAAATGTTGACTTTTCTAAATTTCAATACCTCTATTATAAAATTTCTTTTATCTTTTATGCATTTTTAATGTACCCATTCTCTGTTTTTACGTTTGCTTCTTCTTTTCAATGGAGTTTAATATTGAAAAGTACTTTATTAATAAACTGTTGAACTCGTTAGACAACTCAAGTGAAGATTTGCAGGTCCAATATTAAAACAGATCAATAATAAATAAACAAATCTAATCAATATTTATATTTTTATAGCTTACAGAACATTCACGATTACTTGTTGTCTTGTTTTTCATGTTTTCTTTAAATGTTCCTGACTTTAAGAAACAATGGCTGCATGATAAGTTTAAATGGCCCTAAAAAGTAATTCATTTAGTTAATGAAACTTATTTACATTTACTGCCTACCTCCATTGCTTTTGGATGTAAATACAAAATATTATTACAAATTTTAGAAATTAAATGAGAATTTCACTGGAACTTCCAATATTTGCTTGATTTCTGTCACATAAATGACATTGATTGACAAACAAAACCAGAAAAACTAGCCTTCTCGCGCTGGTTAGTTTGGTGACAGTTATAAGCGAATTTTTCCGTAATAAGAAAACTTTCAGGAAACCGATAGAAACGGAACATAAAACCATAACCAAGGTATGCAACGGAATACACCCTTAAGTTTTCTCTGCAGCTCTGATAGAGACTTACCTTAGACAAGAAACTAGGGTTGCACGGTTCCGCGAAGCCGTTGTTTAGCAAATAATCGTTCATAGACACGTCCTTTTTCTCACTTCGGTACAAATAGATCTCCACTAAATCGTTGACCACAGAATAAACCTCGGCGAAGAGCAGCAGCCCGCTGGTCAGTTTGCAGAAATTCTCGTTGACCGCGTCACTCCACACGCCCGCCGGGTTATAGCGGTAGGCGGGGCGTACGCCTACCAACGCGCATTCGTAGGCCAGGGGCGGGGTCAAACACTGGGGGCGTTGCGGCATGATGTACAGCTCGTCGGCGCGCACTTCTTGCACGTTGCCGTAGTCGACGAAAAGTATCTGGAAAAAAGAAAATATAGAAAAGAGAAAAAAAATTGGTCAAGTGCGAGTCGGACTCGCGCACGAAGGGTTCCGTACCATTCATTATCTATACAACATTAGACACTATATTATTATAAACTTTTTTTTCCGATTTAGCTGAAATTTTGAATGCGCGTATAAGTAATTTAAAAAAAAATGAAGAAACACATTACTAAAAATTGTTTTAATCAATAATAAATATGTAAAAAGTAAAAATAAATATATAAAAATATGTAAAAATAAAAAAAAAGTCGCCTTGATTAGGATTCGAACCTGCCTTACTACGGCTCCAACGTCATAGCAGCGTTAAGTCCTAACGCTTTAACCACGCGGCCACCGAGGACTTGAAAGATTCTATGTAAAATTCTTACTTAAAAGATAATGTTTAGTGAAAGTACTTTTTTATTTATAAACATTTATTAAAATTCGAGTTCTTTTTCACTTAATTTTTACTACCCGAAACAGCGTTACATCACACAAACCTCGTATCTGAGTGTTTTACAGTTTTAATAACTGTAGTACCAAAAAACTAAAATACTTAAATATTATGACAAAGGCACGATTTCAATATTATTTTAATACGATTAACATGAACTTCAACCGAAGAGCGAAAACTTCTGATCTCTGCCGTATAGAGCGCTGCGGTCGGAATTTTTTGAAATCAAGTGAAATGCACCAAGCCTATAAGGCTAGTATATAATAGAATAATCCTCTGCCAAGACTGTAAAATAGAGAACCAAAGTAAGTTAGCGAAAAATATCTAGAAAATAGTAACTGTCACACTCTCTTGGCAGGCCTTTACTAGCTTTATAGGAATACTGCTTATACGCACCCTGTACGCTACTACAAAAAATAATTTACCTGATTAATTCTGCCTCCCACAGCTAGCACTTTGCACCTGTAGAAGAGCCCATCCTCCTTAAATCTAGCAGCATAGAGAGCACCCACTTTGGGTGGTTCTTGAAGCGGATTCAACACTTGTCTGTTCAAGGCCTCGTCGATTTTTTGCAGTAGTTCATTTGTCCGGGCGTCATCGTTTTGCACCCAAAAATGTCCGGCGTCGATATGCTTCAGAGAAATCATAAATATAATTTAATTTAATTCGCTTTGCAAATAGTGATTGACTGAAAGTTATACCGTGCTGGCAACTCTTACCTTTGGGTCGGTATTTACATGTGTGGAAGTAAATAAGGCGCAGTGAGAAAAATGCGTCGGTGTGCGGTTGCAGCGTTGCCAGATTTCTCTGGTACGCCTTCCCTATCAAGTAAAGTAAAATCACGATCGCAAACCGCTTATTTTTAAATAAATAACTAGATAAAATCATTAGATATGTTAGAATTAAAAGGATATCGTTAGGGTGTCCTTTTTTATAACGAGAAAACGTCAGTAATCGCGATAATTTAATCGCGATTACTGACGTTTTCTCGTTGCAAATGTTTCTAACTTGCACTTAAAAATGTACAAGCTATAGCGAAAATCACGACTCGTTAATAAATAAACAAATAAAGTATCACGAGACGTAATTAAATCGTCAAGCTGAACGCATGTTGTACACCCTTTCCTAGAGACTTAAGTACTGATTGGCTCGACCGGTCGACCGCGACGAATCTGCTATATCCTCTTCCACGTCACTTAGCAATGTGCACAGTTTCTCGGCTTATTTCATATGTTTGGCAACGTTTTAGCTGTTCTCTCTTTGTTCAGTGCATTATAAACGCATTGTACTCTTCTTACATACGGAAATCTCGACCCAAGACTAACCTTTGCCAGCCCTTAGTATAAAATGTAATAGTCTTCTGTACTCACGTTTGAAATATGAATTCGAGCATACTGGGTGTCCATGGTAGGTATGGGACTGTAATCGAACGTCGTAAAACAGTTAACTGGGTCAGTTTCCATGCTGCGGCTACTTCCTCCTATTTCGCGACGCACTCCGTGTTTTTCAGCAAATTCCCAAGCTTTTCCTGGACTATGAAACAGTAAATGATTAAAAAACTATACAGGGTGGTCCGAACTGTATTCCGGAAACTTCGGCAGCATATTCTGCAGATAAAAATAGCTAAAAGAGTTCGTATACATGTATGTCCTAAAATGCTTAGTTTCGGAGATACAGGGTGTAGAAGTTTCATTTTTATTATTTCGATTTTTTTTTCAAATAATTTCTGAAGTAACGTCAATATTTGGATGAAATTGACTCCTACTTATAGAAGGCGCCACCTACATATTTTTGACTGGTTTTAAGAGTAATAACTTTTCGTCCGTACCTGTATAAAACTACTAAGTAAAATAATATACATTTACGACGTTTTTTAAATAAAAAAGGTCTCTTGGTAAAAATCGCTACGAGTAATGGTTCTCGAGATACTTGGAATCGAAATTATCAATACCCCTGTCATCATTGACATAAATTAAATAAGTTTATTAAATAATTATTATACTGCAATCATATATTTGAAATGTTTTGTAGGTGTTCAACAGAAACTGTCTTATCATCATTTTTTCAAAGAAAAATTTATAATTAATTTAAAAAAATATAAATAAATGTATAATTTCAGTCAAATAACTACCTACTCAACATGTTTATTTTTGTCAATAATGAGATGTATTAACTACTTCAAATCTAAATATCTTGAGAACGGTTACTCGTAGCGCCTTTTACCAAGAAACACGGTTTTTTGCGTAAAAAATCAGGAAAATGTATATTTTTTCACCCAGAGTAGTACGTATACATGTACCGACGAAAAGTTATCACATTTCAAAACAGTTAAAACACATGTAAGTGGCGCCCCCTACATATAGGAGTCACATTGACATCAAAATCAAATTCTCATGTCAAAAAACTTCTAGACACCAATTTTCATCCAAATATTGACGTTACTTATACAGAATTATTTGGAAAAAATCGAAATAAAATGAAACTTCTACACCTTGTATCTCCGAAACTAAGCATTTTAGAACAAACATTTATACAAACGTTTTTAGTTGTTTTTATCTGCAGAATAATGCTGCCGAAGTTTCCGGATACAGTTCGGGCCACCCTGTAAATTGTGCGCAAAATTATTCTCTAAGTTTTGAAAAATGAAGACATATTATACAGGGTGCTACAAATTCGAGGTACGAGCATTGGTATCTCGGTAACCGTAATAGATACGAAGATGTTTAAATTGGGGCAAAGTTGCGTCTTGGGATGTTCACCAAGATGCCATCAAAAAAAGTTTTAAAAATTTCAAGGATTGCTGAGTTTTTGAAAAAAAACTGATTTTTTTGAAAATCAATTTTATTTTTTCCTGTAGTTACTTATTAGAAAATCAAAAAACTAATTGCACATTCTCATAGCCACTTTATTAGGGCTAATAAAAATTATCTGCTGAAATGCTCGTACCTCGAATTTGTAGCACCCTGTATATACTTACTCTAAAAGTTTTAATTTGAACTCGTAGCGCAACTGACGTTGACGTATCATTTCATAGACGGCGCTGGGAATTCGGCCTGACGCGGTAGCCAATCGCAAGCTACCGTCCACGTCCACGGCTACGGGATCCCTTTGGAACGCGTTTTTAAATTCCACGTAAATTTTCCTAAAAAATAAATTAAAACAATTAGAAAGTGGCATGTAAAAATCGTACAGCACTATGCAGATAAGCCAGATTATTAGTGTGACGTCAGAAATCGTCTAGAGCCTTTATTCACGAAGGTTGCGGCCTGTATAGGGTATGGCGCTATGGTCTTTAAATTTAGATAAAAAAACATGGCTCGAATAAGATATGGTAGCTCGCGTTGCTCAACATGTTGTTGATGAGGATCATTGTATAGATGTTAATAATTTAAAATTAATCAAATAAGTCGCAAATTACAAGAAATTAGATGCCTACAAAAGCGTCAAAATAAAGAAATGTAAAGATGATATAAAGAGAGATAATGGTCCAACTGGGGCTATCAGAGAATAGGTACATTAAAGAAATGCTAACTTCATGTTAAAAAATGGAAACAGACGCCACCTGGTGTCGCCTGGCAGTACTAGCTAAATTGAGGGGAATTGGAGGGGCGGGCTTTAAAAGAGGGGAAATTTTTAAAAAAATATTTTTATAAGTATCACTGACTTACTGTTTAAAGTTAATAAACATATTTTTTATTACTTTAATATAATTTAATGTATTAAAAAATATGTCTATTAACTTTACACAGCAAATCAATGATATTATTAAAGACTTATTATTTTCAGAGAAAATTCATAGTAAATAAATTACACATTAGTAAACAATATCATTTATTTTTTAGAGCTGCGATTTATATTACAATAATATTGAAATATATATATTTTTTTTAACAATGAAAAAGAATATCCCGGAACCTGAAAAAGAAAGATGATCAATTAATGACTTAAATTAGTTCAAAATATATTTTGCAAATAACTAGTGAATTGGAAAGATAAACATACTATAAAAAAGACATTTTAGTAGTATGTTATCATCTATTTACTGATAATACATTACATAAGTATATAATAGGTAAATAACATGCATAAGGCACTATGATACAACTACCTGTATCATGATAACACACTAATATGACAAAAAATATATGCTAATTTAAATTCCTTTAATGATCTAATGAAACACTATCTAGCCTCAATGCATGCCATTCCAAAGGCAAAAAAAACTTATACCAAATAAATATCAGCTGAATAAAACATAAACCAAGCCAATGTGCATAAATAACCAAAAATGCATCAAAAAACTTTTATCAGATCATACCCTTGGATATATTATGTATTTTATATATCGCACATCCCGTTCAAAAGTTTACTAACTCAAAATAGAGAATATAGAGAACATTGTCAGGAGAAGTAAAAGAAAATTTAAGTTAAGGCAATATGCTCCTTTTTGCATATTAATGGCCAAATAATATAATGTTGATTTAATAAAATTTTACTGGCATCCTTCTGAAGTATAAATCAGATTAAAAGGACATTGTTTTTGTAATAATTGTTTGTTTTGTAAACATTTTTTGAAGACAATACAGTTTTGAACGGGCTGTGCGATATAAACAAGGATCTTACTATTATTTGAGGTTAGAAAGTATTTAAATAATATAAAACATAATCAAAATCACTTTTCATCATAAATTATAGAGGTACTTACGTGTTTTGATATTATTATCAGGAAATAATACGTTTAGTTAAACAGGTACGCTGCCAGGCAAGTTCTATCGGCGGGTCTTTGCAAGAGTTGAAATCTAAAAATACAAAAATACGTTTACATCTTAGTTGTATTTACGAATAAAGTATTTGTGTGTAATTTCTGACTTACCAGTTAACTGAATAATCGCATTAAATACATCCAAATGGTAATTTAATATTTTAAAAAAGCAAAATTGTTTTAAATCACTTGCCAGGACAGCCCGGCCAGCTTCTTTGTTGACAAAATGGCCGCGGTATCATGATTTAAGCAATGTGAGTGACAAAGAAAGCCAATGCCTGGCAGATGTTGCTTTCTTTGTCGTTGGTCCTGGCACGTTTAAATTTGACTGTTGCCTGTTTTCCCATACAAGTGACACCCCCGTGGGGGCTATAATTTTGTACTTACATGCTTCCGTCAAAACCGACATGTATATCAGCATTTTTTTCGATGTTTGCCTCAATCATTTTCTTGATTTGCTTGACGTATATCTGGCCAGGTTGCTTGGGGTCAAAACCTAAAATAGTTTGTTATTAATTTTGGCAAAAATGCAAGAAAAAAACATAATTAGTGAACTCTAAATGAATTGCTTAGTTCAATCGCTTTCTTATTTCTTATGTATTTTGTCTGGGAATGATCACACGCTGCACGAGCAGCTATTTTTAAAGCCTCTTTCTAAGATTCACAAGAATCTCACATTTATAATACAAAATAAATATGATCTGTCAAAAAAACAAATGGTACAAATGAACTACTCATGATATAAGGGCCAAAATATTTTTATTGACCAGTAACAGCCTTATAGTATAATAAATATACTGTGTCCAAAAATAAAAATCAAACGGTACAAATGAACTACTAATGATGTAAGGGCCAAAAAAAGACTTTTTATTGGTATTTTAATAGTCTTATATTATAAAATAAATATGCTGCGCCAAAAAAAATAAAAATCAAATGGTACAAATGAACTACTCATAATGTAACTTATCTTACCGGTAAAATAGACTGTGGAAAATGGATCTCTTCCTCCAACTACTTTGACAGCCTCTCTTTCTGAGGAATCTTTACCCTCGCTAGTCTTGATAAAGTAATTTGGGTAAAAAGCCCCTGCCATGACCACCTAAAAGCAATAAAGAAAAAAAAAACAATAATACAAAATTAGTCTAGATGAGTGAATGTATGTAATAAATTTTATTAAACAAAATATGAAAGTTTTTGGGTTTTGTCTGAAGTTTGGTTTGGTTATTATATTTTTATACAGCGGCGATTCTAATTTTTAAAATAACAAAAAAAACATCGAAAATGTCAAATTATGAAAAAAAAACGAACGGACAAATGCGTAATAATAATTTAATTGACTGTATAGTTTTCAAATTTTCCAGACAACAAAGTGATGGACCCTAAAAACACCTGCAAAAAAATTTCATACCTTTAACACAGTGGGTTTCTCGATGCGGGACAAAACTACTTTGCCAGGCCCCGCTGTCTCCTTAATTTCCAACCTAGTCAAACGTTCTCTGATTTCGGTTACCAGCAAGTGCCATTCTTTTAGGCCCTTGAGACTGACAAGGTTTCTATGGCACCATTCCAGTTCTTGCCGTTGATTTTGGAAAGCGTTTTCTCTTTTCAAGTTTTGCCAAACCTGTAGAATTATTGGAATTAATAATTTATGAATTAATAAATACATTAAGGATTAACCTATATTTTCTTTATTTATTTTGAAATACTTATGAAGAAATTAAATTAAAACACCTTCAGATTAAATCCATTTATTTCTCATCTTGTTTTAATTTGTCTCACTACTATGGAAAATTAATCTAAATATATGTAATTAAAAAGTGCGAGTCGGACTCGCGCACGAAAGGTTCCGTACCATTCATTATCTATACAAAAATTTTGAATGCGCGTATAAGTAATTTAAAAAAAAATGAAGAAACACATTACTAAAAATTGTATTAATCTATAATAAATATGTAAAAAATAAAAATAAATATGTAAATATTTAAAAAAAAACGATTAAAAAAAGTCGCCTTGACTAGGATTCGAACCTGTCTTACTACGGCTCCAACGTCATAGCAGCGTAAAGTCCTAACGCTTTAACCACGCGGCCACCGAGGACTTGAAAGATTCTATGTAAAATTCTTACTTAAAAGATAATGTTTAGTAAAAGTACTTTTTTATTTATAAACATTTATTTAATTCTGTTTTTAGTATTTGTTCTTATAGCGGCAACATATATACATTATCTGTGAAAATTTCAACTGTCTAGCTATAACGGTTCATAAGATAGAGCTTTGTGACAGACGGACGGACGGACGGACAGCGAAGTATTAGTAATAGGGTTCCAGTTTTTACCCTTTGGGTACGGAACCCTAAAAATGAATCATATTATTTACATTTTGGCTTGTTTTTGGCAACTAAATGAGCAAAATCAGAATAGGCAACAATTCCAATCATTTTGCATTGATTTGTACTTACCGTATATAAATTTAGAAGAGCAATGAGATCGCTGTTGGAACCATCCGCCCACAGCAGAAGCTTTTTGTAAGCTTCTAAACGTTTTTGAAATGGTATTGAAAAAATATTTTGGACCGAACAACCGGCAGCTAAAATATTAATGTAATATTTAGTGTTTTTCTTTTTAAGTATTCACACTTCACAATGTTCATTACATTATAAGTGACACTTTTGAATAAAAAGATTAAGAAAGGAGTATATTGCTATCCATGTATTCATGCATGGTGGGCGGAAAAAGGAATCTAGGGTGGGGATCTTTGAATGACATCCTTGACATGTTTCACGATTCATTTGACACATTTGAAATTAATTTAAAATTTTGTGGATTTGTCAGTCTTTTGTAAAAACTGAGTTTATTTTATGTTATTTATTATTTATTCTACTACTGATAGTTGTATAAAGGTAATAAATCTAGATGGAAATTGTGGCAGAACTTAAATTAACAGTAACACTATCGCGATTTATTGAAAAAGACTCTAAAATAGTTGGTCGTGTAGCGTGCGGTAGATCTCGGTCAAAAATCGAGTGAAACAATGGAATAACTTTTCGCTAGTAAGTGTCTATATAATATACATACGTGTAGTAAACCGATCATTTATGAAATTCACTTAAAATTAACTAATTATATATTTTTTCTTGCATTTTTGATTTTATTTACTACTTGTCAAAGATTAAATATCAAAGAATTTAGGTACGTCAATTGTGTGTGTGTGTGTGTTAATAAACAATTATTATAACTAATCTATTTTTATTAGAATTATATATTTTTATAACAATTTTAATAACTACCAACATTTATTGACAACGCAAAATAAAACAACAAATTATTGAGTCTACTCTACATCATAGTTTTACACTTTTTAAATAAAATTAGAATGGCACTGATAAACCGGAATTTAAGTCGGCCCTATTTGAGCCTCATCGCGGTTGATCTAAGTTTTATGATATGTTTCTTTCTTAATCTTTTTGTTCAAAGGGTGACACAATAAAAAAATATCTCACCAATAATGACAGTCTCGTCCAAACAACTGTACAGCTGTCCCAGCACTATCATTTTGGCAAGGTGGACGTCTATAGGCAAGCTGGCCATAACTCTTCCTAAAAACGTTATATCCCCATCGGCTGAAGACAATACACCTCGGCAAGTCTTCAGCAAACCGCCAATCTAAAAGAAAACATCCTGTATATCTATAAAAAATATATGGAATTATTTTTAAAATGAAAGGGAAAAAAAGAAGAAAAAATTGGGAAAAAAGAGAAAACGAAGAAAAAAACGAAAGAATAAAGACAAAAAACAAAAAAAAAGAAAGACGGAAGGGAAAAAATTCTTAAGAAAAAGACGAAATAAAAAAGTACGGAAAAAAAACAAAACAAAAAAACGAAAGGAAAAAACACAAAACCAAAAAAAAAGGATATCCCAAATTGAAAAGTCCAAATGAGCCATAGCAGCAAAAAGAAGACGCTCGACATTTACTTATACTTTACCTCTTTAAGTTGTGAAATCGTAGTTTCAATGTTCTTCAAATTTGGAGGCGCCATAGCTAGAGCAAGAATCTGGGATGGAGTTTCATTTAACTCTAACATTTTCGATTGTAATACGATTCTGTTCAACGGGGCTCTCAAAATCTCTGGCTGACTGGTCTTGGACATTTCTTCCTATTAAAAATAGTAATATAAATAATGGAGTTAAATAAAAACTACAAATTTAAAGAAAAAATACATTATAAAACCGTTTGGTCACCAATCTGTAAACTCTTCCATCACAGGTTCTTCCAACACGTCCAGCTCTTTGATCACAGTTCACGTGAGACGCCCATTCCAGTTTCAAGCACATATAATTGGTGAAATCTGCCACTGTCATCACTTTTGTCAAACAGAAATCGATCACTGCAAGGAAAATCATGTAGCCTATTTTTATACACCCTGTATACTCGAAAACAAGGTACTTACCATAACCTATATCTGCTACTGTAATTGAACTCTCTGCGATATTAGTCGAAAGTATAATCTTTCTGAAACCTTTTGGAGAAGGTTTGAAAGCCTTGGCTTGCTCATCGTTGGGTAGAGATGAATGTAAAGGAACAATTTCCCACTTCAGGCCTCTTCTAGACGAACTAAAAACATTTTACTTGTTTTCAAAATACTGATATATTACGTTTTACTTTCAAAGTTAGCCCGGTCAGGTAGTATTGAAATAGAAACAATAAAAAATACAAAAATAAAATATAAATAAGAAATAAGGAAAATAAAAAAATTAAAAATGAAATAAATATAAAAGAAAGAAAAAAAAATAAAGAAGGCTTACCTGTCTTTACTTTTAAGCAGTCTGTGCGCCTCCTCAATCTCATTGATACCAGGCAGAAACACTAAAACACTTCCTGTTACTCTACCTTCTTCTGGTCCATCGGCATCCAATTTATCAAACACTTCAATAAGAAAAGTGAAAATTTCCCAAATCTCTTTGGATATTTCCGGTTTCTCGATGTCAAATTTTGGCATCTATAAATAAAGACAATTTTTTGAACCTCAGAATTAGAAAATAAAATGGCTGGCTCATACATCCGATCTTAATCCTACGTTAGCATTCATGCTTCCAACACATTGATCTTAAAATTAGTCTTAGTCCTAACGGACCATAAGAAATATGCGAGATTTTATATTCTTAGGGCTATAGCTAATACAAAATAAATTTTCGCATGTTCAAAACTACATGTAGGGGTTTTAAGAATTTTTGAAATATTTGACATAATATAGCATAATTTTTGGTAGAGAAATGATTAATGTTTATTCACAAACAAGTGAATGTTATCACTGTCAAAAATTAATGTCTCTAGTTTTCAAAATTCTTAAAATATTTGTACAGGGTGGCGCCTCTCATACGACGCGGAGGCCCCAAGGAGAACGACAGTTTGTATCGAAATGAAATTTTGTGAGCATATGTAGGTTAATTCAGAGCACTTTTTAAAAATATAGAGAGTTCTACAGCGTGTCCCTAAAAAAGTTACATATCAAAGTTGTGTTTTTTGTAACGGAACATCCTGTATGCTAATTGATTTTCGGATTGTGCGAGAAAAATAAAGGTGAGTTTTATAAGAGAAGTATATGACTAAAATGTAAAGTTTTTGACATATTTAACATTTTCTAAAAATAAAAAACAATTTTTATATTACAATAAAAGCTACCTAAATTGGAATTTACCCGGTATAGCCTAATATATGGTTAAATTAACTATTGTACTTTATATCGAATTAAAACTTGATACCAAAAAGTTATACAGGGTTAGACAAAATTAACATTAAACATTGGTCACATTTAAAAGCAAGTTACTCTTTTATTTAAACACCCAGTACATTATTCCGATATTCAATGGGAAATTCACGTCTCTTCAAAATACTATTAAGGTTGCCTACCCCTCATACAAAGATTTTCCTAGATATTTTCATTTATATGATTCAGTGTCAGTAGATCTTTATTATTTGATAAAATCTAGGTGGCTGTGATACGTCTGACGTTACTTCAACATAGCTGTCTAATTAGTCCAACTTTAACAGCTAGTTATCATTTTGTGTCAGTTAAAACAAAAAAAAAATCTCAGAAATTTGCCGAAATGCAAACTTATCCTACATCAGAAAGAATTGATATGATTCTATTAGTTGGTGAATGCAGTGTGTATTCACCAATTAATAGAATACATAATATAATATATAATACTCCTTTTTATCTAGTCTGTTTTTTTTTATGGGGGTATGTTAAAGGGAGTGTTTACAAAACTCGACCAACTATTGTCAACAATACGTGAGAAATAATTGTCGCTTGGAAACAATTGTAGCTGATTTTCGAAGTAGAACTCCACATAAGCTTTTAAAATAAAAAAAATTATGAAAAGACAATCATTTTATGCAGTTAACAGGGAAGGAAGCATTTTGAGCAGTTGATTTCATCTAGCTAATTTTTGTCACATAATTAAAAGTTTATATCTAGTTTTAATTCTGTAATAATTAAAAGATGTTTTAAACGTGTATATTTTTATTAATGTTGAATTTTTGTGAAAATAATTAACAAAAGGTATATCACAGCCACCCTAGATCTTTTCAAATAATAAAAATCTACTGATGCAAAATCATAACAATTAAAATATTTAGAAAAATCTTTATCTGAGGGGTAGGCAACCTTAATAATATTTTGAAGATATATGGATTCCACATTGAACACCGAAATAATATACTGGGTGGTCCATTTAAAATAAAGAAGTAACTTGCTTTTAAAAGTGACTAATGTTCCATATTAATTTTGTCTCGCCCTGTATAACTTTTCGGGTCAAATTTTAATTTGGTTTAACATACAATGGTTACTGTAATTAAATATCAGGCTATACCAGGTCAACTGAAATTTAGGTAGCTGTTATTGAGATTTAAAATTTACTCTTCATTTTCACCAAATGTGAAATACATCAAAATCCTTACATTTTAGGTATATGCTTCTTTAATAGAACTTTACTCTACTATTTTTTTTTTTCTAGAATCCGAAAATCAATTAATATATAGGGTGTTCCATTAGAAAAAACACAACTTTGATGTGTAACTTTTTTTGGGAACACCGTGTATAACTCTATATATTTTTATAAAATGCTTTCAATTAACCTACATATACTGTCAAAATTTCATTTCGATATAAACTACCGTTCTCCTTGGAGCCTCGGCGTCGTATGAGAGGCGCCACCCTGTACATTTAGTCATAATTCAAAACATATTTATATATATGCATATAGAATATTCTTAAAACAAGTGGGACAAGTATGAACGGCATTTCCTTAATTTCTTAAGGTTATATTCTTAGGGTTAACGTTAAGGGTAAAGTTAGGCTTAGTATGAACAAACCAAAATCATTATAGAACTTACAGATTTTGAAACTTGCCAGATGAGATCTAATGGGAAAATTGTCTTTTTATACTGAGAATTCGTGTCCACCTTTATTATAGGCGCCGGAATTGTTTTTCCCGATGATTGTTTACGAAAATAATGCGCAAACTCGTCGGAATTCATCGTAGCTGACATCAGAACCACCTAAAAATAACCTTGATAAACTAAGACTCAAATTCGTTTTTTTCCTTAAAAATACCCTTGTTCCTATTGAATTCGTAAACAGAAACTTCCTCACAATCAGCAAAAGGAAATCCAACTCTTGATTTCTCTCGTGTACTTCGTCAATAATAATATGTGTGTACTCCCTCAATGATTTAGCACGAATCAATTTCTGGAGTAACACTCCGATGGTCATGTAGGTTATAATAACATCTCTGGAAACTTCCTTTTCCAGGCCGACTTGATATCCGCAAACCACTCCTAAACTCCAACCTCTTTCTTCGCAAACTCTTTTAGCCACGTTGATAGTGGCTATTTTTCGTGGCTGTGTCACAACGATGTTACAGTACTGGCCTTTTTCTCTGTAACTGTCCATAATCATTTGTGGCACTTGGGTGGTCTTACCTGTAATATTGTTGTAATTGAGAGAACGTTTTGTTATACGAGCATGTATGTAAGGGCTCGAACTCACTGACGACCAGGTCGCAACGACCTGGCCGTCGGCTGGCCGGATGTATTGCGTTTTTAGCTGCGGCCAGATGAACGACCAGTTTCAACAGAGTTGTCAAATCTAACGATTTTTTACGTTTTACCCATTAGAAAATATTGTTTCAGAAATATTAAAATATCCGAGTTAACTAAAAAGCGAAGTTGCTATTCACAACAAACAAAAAGCATTGTGTACGCGCGACCGACAAAAAGGGAGATATTCTGTTTCTTTTTTCTACTGATATGGCGCCCTTATCGACTTCAGAAGTAAACATATTAGGGCTATCGTAAAAAAAAGATCGTCAGACACTGGCTCTAAATAATATAAGCAGGTAGAAAGTTTAGCTTCCAGTTATTTCAATGTTTACAATATAACGAAGAATCTACAACAGTAATTACTTCTATTTTTATGAATGTTTAAGTTACTTCCTTAATTTTTTTTTTTCAAAATAATGTACCTAGTAGAAATATAGTCTAATGAACCCTGTTTGAAAAACGTTAAATTAAATATAATATTTAAAATACAATTGTCCTCCTTGTACATGACTACAATACAACTAAAAAAACTAATTTAATAAAAAAAAACAAGTGGTTTTAGAAAAACTTTAAATATTATTTTTTTTTATTTTTTAACATCGAAACTCAAAGGTACAACAGGTATCATACCAACCATAAATAGAGTAGGTATGTCATATAAAAATGTTTTGAGTTTTTACTAGAATCAACCCTTGATAAAAAAAGGGATTAGATTTAAGTTTACCTTTGATCCAGTCTGTATACTATTTCTATGAATTTTCTGCACGTGTGCAAAAACTACACTAAAACACTATATCTTATAGAAAATAAAATATTGTGCCTTGAATTTGAGGGATTTCATCTGAAAAATTATTAATTTGGAAGAAAACCGGCAACAAGCGGCAGAAAATAATATTTCCGTGCAGTCTTCTGGTCGCAACGACCAACGGACGGCCAGGACGTTAGTGTGCGCTATATAATTTGATTTAATGGTTTTAGAGGTAGCTGCGACCTGGTCGTCAGTGTGTTCGAGCCCTAAGAGCACAAACGAGAACGTTCCTTATACAGGGTATGTCAATAATGTATAGAGTAGCATCTGTAGCTCCTAGAATAAAAAAAAAACTTTTGAATTTTGTCTAAGTATGTGTTTGTCTAAAGTATGCACTAGGATGAATTTCAGAAAAATATTTTAACTTCTACAGGGTGGCTCAAAAAATTGTGAATGGATCGGATTTTTTTTATATGGAACCCCCTGCATATTTTTGCATTTTTGGTTTCCAATCTGATCACTTTACAGAGTCCTAAGATAATAAAAAAAATGTTTTTGTAATTTTAGAGACATAAAATTACAAAAACCTCCTGTGACAAAAAAATCTAGGTAGTTACTATACTCGATCCGTACTTACGTTATTATAAATCTCGAAATTTTAAAACATACAAGGTGTTGATAGTTCCATACCCCCCCTTTTTTTCTTCCATTTAAAAAAAACGAAGAAAAATTATTTTATATTTTAGAGAGTTTGATGTAGAATTTTGAACACCTTGAATAATTTAAGACGATATTTATAGCAAAGTAAATACAGACCATCTATAGTAAACATCTAGAATAGTTTTGATTTGAGGACGCTTTTTGTATTTTTAATAATTTTTTTAAGCTTAAAAAGATATATTTTTTATTTATTTATTAATATCTCTGAAACTATCAAAACATTTATTAATATCTTATGATTATGTAAAGTGATCTGAAAGGAAGCCAAAAATGTAATAATATACAGGGTGTTCCATTTATCGCTTCTATCCCGATCCCCTCACACCTTGACCCACCCTGCAAAAGTTAAAATATTTTCCTGAAATACATCCTAGTACATACTTTAGATCTGCATTAAACAAAACGTCCAGGTTTTTTATTTTAAGAGCTATATATGCTCGACGCACAATTGCCAGACCCTGTACACATTTCTTACATTTTTAAAGTGATTCTTTATTTTTGAGTCTAAATAGTCTAATATAATATCAATTAAAACATTATATAATTATTATTAATTATTTATAAAAAAAAAAAACGAGAAAAGGAAGAAATAAAAAAAAGAAAAACTAGGAAAAAACGAAAAAAAAGTTGAAACATAAAACAGAAAAAACTAATAAAAAAAGTGGAAAAAACTGAAAATAAAAACGAAAAAAAATCAACTATAGTTTATTTTGTTGCCCCCTGAGCCACAATAGATCCTCGCGACCCCAGTAAAAGTCCTACCTGGGACCCACTCTTAGTAAACACAATATGATCGGAAAAAAAGGCCTATGAAATGAAAATTGCTGTCATTTTATATGTAAAATTGTATGGGGAATGTCATCGGTTGTCATTTCCAAGCCAACTGGGCTGCTTTTTTTTCGATCATACGATATAATACAATACAAATTTTGTTGCTATTGATAGCACAAAACACCTGGCAAATAAACCGAAATTCCATTACTATCTACCCTTAAGTATATTAATAAATACATAAAACCTAATATTCTTACAAAATTACTCATTTGCATTTTATGGCTGTATTGCCCTTTATAGATATATATAAAAGAATAATTATAGAAAGGCAAAATTATATTCTTTTGGGTTTATATTAAGGGCACTAAGCTCTCAGAGCCTTGTGAACAGGGTACAGTTACCGGACTATATAAACCTGAGTGGTATTGGCCCCAAACCCAATAAAAAAACAACTTTTACAGTAAATCTAGTTTAATATTTACCACATCCTGTAGGCCCCTCAATTACAGTCACCTGACTGAACTCCACCCGAGATAAAATCATGCTTTTGTAACCATCGATTGGCAGATCTTTCTTAATATCAGTTTTCAGTCTGAAATTGTGCTTTTCGTATACATCGACGCGGTTAATAGTGTGTTCTGTTGCGATTGTATCGACTTGGGATAGAGTCCCCTGAAAAAAATGATGAGATTTACAAAAAACTGATAACGATTATTAATATATCGAGGTCTACTTACATTATCCAGAGTCTGTGAAGCGACTGGATCAAAATATCTGGACATTTCTTCACGTACAAACTCCTGTTCGTACTCTTTTGTGTTGTGTTCATCGTCACTATCGGAGGAATCAAAATCGTCCACTCCCAGAGGAGCTCCCACGACGCCATTCACCCTGCCCACAGGGTAGACGGGTCTTTTATCGACTTTAGCTAACAGAGCTTTCATAATTACCGAATAACATACGCTATCGACTTTTAAAATGGTTTTTTATGTACGCAAGTAAAAATAGACCCGACCTACGATACGATACATTTAAAACAAACATAACCTCACAATAGGGATGTTCGATGTTCGATTTAAATCGATTCTTCATCGATCTTTTGACATGCGATTCCCATTCCAAAAGAATCGATTCATTTACAGAATCGTACATCTCTATCTCACTCTTCTTCTATTTCCACGGTAGGCTTAAACAGCATCCCTGCATTTTATACATGATTTTGACACCCCTTCCTGAACTTGCTCCAGAGTGTAATGCTCATACCTGTGTTTTGTATATGATTTTTACATCAATCTGACCTCTTTCCAGGGAAGATCCCATCTCTCCTGCATTTTATATATGATTTTATTTATTTTAAACGGTTCTCAAAATGGTTTTCAAACAACATTGAGTTATGATTGAGTTGAAGCAAGTTGAAGTAAACAAAAATATGTAAATTTACTCAGATTTACTCATTTATCATCAATTGTGAGTATGAGCGTGAGTCATAATTTAAAATAGTAATTAATTAGTTGATACAAAATCACACAGTTTAAAAGCGCGTAAAAGTAAATAAATACATTTTTTGCATTTTCAAAGTATACCTATTCATTCTACAAATTCACAGGGTATAATCACATACCTACATCAAGATACCTACCTACGTAGTTATCTCCATAAGTTATCTCTGCCTACATACATTTTTGAATTTCCAATTTGCAATATTGTGCAATGTTTTCACAGAATTGATTTTTTATATGTATAGAATCATATAGAATCTTACTTGGTTGTGATTGTACAAATTTTTACAATTTTCTACTAATTTTTAGAACTTAAGGGTAAGGATTTTTTTTTTATTACCTACTGATAAGTTTACTAAAGTTTTTACTATTTATTTGATTTTAAAAGGTTTCACAAAGACAGACATGGCTGGCGAAGCATTAGATTTCAAATCTCAATTTTACAATCTCGAAGGAATTCATGTAAATGAGAGAAAAAAGAGCCTGAGTCAACTGCTGCGCAGATATCCCAATAATATTGATAACACCCAGATCGATATCCAACCGAGAAACTACTTGGAAAGAATATTTTATGTAGACGTTCTTATTCATTTCCGTAAAACAGAGGAGTTAACAAAGATCCTAAAAGAAGGTATCACTTCCTAATTTTTTTATATTAAGTATGTTTAATGTATTTAAATATATTTTCATCAGGAAATGGTGTGTTAACCAGCAAGATTTTGAAAGAGAAATGGTTCTTTCAGCAGGTGTTTGAAAAAATGGATGAAAAGGATATAGTTTATAGTTTTTTGCCATCCTTGTCTTGCTCATTACGAGCAAAAGTATTAAAGAAACTGGCCCTGTCTTTGACTGAAGAGAAAATGGACAAGATTGTGGAACATGTCTTAGCAAGGTAATTTTAATTTATATGATCCTAAAATTAATTTACAAATAATACAGAGTATACAGGTTGGCCCAGTATACATAAAAGCTCCGTATTTTATATGATATTTAAGATATTCACCCAATCTATTTTTGAAGTGAAATTTCTTTACGCGCGCTGGGAGTAAACATTCAAGGTCGTGACACGCAAGCTGGCGAGATGAAAAATGGTAATGACAGCCTATGGCTTAGAAATACGTAGTGAAGCGACATGTATTATAAGCAGTCCACGTGTTTATCAAAAATATTGATATTTTAAAACAAATTTTGTGAAATTGAATTAAATTATTTATTTATTTATTTTTTTACGCGTATAAAACTATTTGTTACATAAAAAAACTATTTATACGCTTATAAAACTATCTGTTACAAACAAAAAACTATTTTTTACGTGTCAAAACTTATTTGTTACAAGTAAAAAACTATTTTTTATATGTAAAAAAAATTTTTTTTTAATTTATTATTCTTTCAACATTTCAAACAAAACTTTTTCGAATATATCCTTGAAATCCTTCAATTTAATAGCTGTTAGTAAGAAGTCTCACTTCAAATATGCGCACATAGTCCACACACATTTTTTTTAAATGCAGATTATTAGAAAATATTTAAATTTTTAGATATGGCATCAATGCAACTGAACAAATCTTATTCAGTTGTTCAGAAAGCAAATTTCTAGAAATTCTGAGTAAATACGACCTGAATTTACAACCGGAACAGTTAAAACGCATCTTACAGAAAAATCCCGAATTGATAAAAAAATATTTCGAAAAATACAAAGACACTCACGGAAAAGATTACGGTAACATAGATTTTCTGAACTATCTGTGCTGGAAACAACCCACCCTGTATTTTGGGTTTGAATTAAACAAAAAACAACTCAAACTAGGCAGATACACGACAAGGAATGTCTTAAAAAACAACCAAGACGAAGTTATCAAAGATATTTCGATTCAACAGCATAAACTGAAGAAATCTGTTCTAACTAGAGACATTGAGGATTTTCATATAAAATGTTTATCGAAACTTCTACCCGAAAAATTACAGGATCTTGAAAGTTTTAGAAACCAAGAAATTTTAAACAGATTCATCAGCACATACCCTAAGAAAAAACGTTTTGAAATTATGTCACAAGTATTCAAAATTAAATATAACAAAAACTTAGAGGATCATCTTCAATTATTTAACAGAGATTTCGCTTGGGTATTCCCGGAAAATATCCGTCACAAGTGGGCTAGTCTAATGTACACCCAAAAAAATGATTCAGTATACTTATCATACTATCCCCCTAAGTTGGGCTTCGAAATAATCAAAGAAAAACTAAATCTAACTTCAAATGCTCGACAAAGGTCCACATATTTAAATCAACTGATTCCTCTTTGCTATATAAACAAGGATTATGCTACATACGAGGAAGTACTGAAGTATATATCTATCAGACATAGAAACGATGGACTAGAGGATGTGTTGAGGTATATCTATAACAATTCAGATCCTGAATTGTTCACGGCAAATCACTGGAAGTATATTCGTGAATTGATTGACATTGAAACAATTAAGGGGAGGTTCCCGATAAATGCAAACCCTTATTTGGTTTATTTGGTTGAGAAAAATTTGCCTTTGGACGAAGTTCTTAAACAACACATGAGAGATCGTTTTAAAATAATTAATATATTTAGGTAGGTACTAATACAGGGTGAGTCTTAAATAAGTGCAAATATTTTCAGGGCTGGTATATGTCGATGAAAAAAAAACATTTTTTTTTCCTTGCCGTTTTTCAATTCGGTCCAAAATAACCGAGTTATTTTCCTTTGAAAATTTGGAAAAAATATTTAAACTTAATCTACTACCTACATATGTTGCCATAATAGAGAACAACGGCATACGGTCGAGTCGGCCGCTCCTGGCACGTATACGTAGACGTAAAGAATCTTTTACGTTTATAAAAAATAGAAAATATAAGAAATGCGCATGCGTACGCAAACGTTTACGTGTTTGTAGGCCGATTCGACCGTATGCCGTTGTTCTCTATTAATCAGATATACAGGGTGTCCCAGAAATAAGTGCAGATATTTTAAGGGGTGGTAGATCTGGTCAAAATAAACATATTTTCTCTTTACCATTTTTAAAATAAATTGAAAATAACCGAGTTATTTAACTTTGAAAATTTAAAAAAATAATCGCAACATTTTGAGAACCGCCGGCAGGTATCGCCAACTACATCCAATTACCCGGATCAAGCCCGGATTTCAGTTAATTCGACGCACTGTGTTGCCATAGGGACAAGAAAGTATATGTTAAAAGTAAGTCATAAAATCACAACACCTGAGGAGTTTGCAGAGATGCATTACATTTTTAAGATTGTGATATTATTACATAAAATAAATTAAAAGTTAAATGTTTAATAATGTGTTAAAAAGTTAAATTAAAAAACTTACCCAACATTAAAAAAGATACTTATGACAGATCGATGTAACTGTGACAGTTCTCTTTTTCGATATACACTTAACTAAAATACACTTCATTGTGCTGCTTTACTTGTACATGCTGTAGTTATTATAATAACTACTAAAATAACAGTCCCCATTTTTAACACATTATTTTCATATAGGCCTCATCACAATTTTGAATCACTGATTTACAAAACACCTTGAAAAGCACACATTACTTTGAATACCTTTCTGAATGAATAAATGTTGAGAATTATTGTCTCTTATCGCCACTTTCCGAACTACTTTCAATCTAAGAAAATACATGTTTCACTCAACAATTTTAAATACGTATTTTTTTTTCGCTATTTTTTCTATGTATTTCAATTCCATCGACAGCCCAATCGTCGCGTCGGCCGCCGGCCAAGAGAGCGGCGCATCACTGGTAACTGCTCCTTTGTCGCGCCGCCGTGTCGAGCTTGCGTCATGCGAGGTTGCCGTAATTTCAACAATTTCAAATTCAAGACACTCGAAGCAATCAAATTCTTATTAAATTTTAAAAATAAAACAGAAAAATTTGAAAGGAAACAAACAAAACACAAATGAATTGGTTATTGATAAGGTCACAAAAAAGAAATTTCTAAAATGTTTATCGTAATTCAGAATTCTATACATCGAAAACAGCCCGACGAATAATCAATTCATTTTTGTTTTGTTTATTTCCTTTCATGTTTCTCTGTTTTATTTTTAAAATTCAATACGAATTTGATTGCTTCGAATGTCTTGAATTTGAAATTGTTGTAACTACGGCAACGTTGCTTAACATCGTCGTCTAACGCAAGCCCGCCACGACGGCGCGGCGACCGGCGACTCAAAGGACCAGTTCACACGCGGCGGTTCTTGGCTGACGGTTAGGCCAGAGAAGAACGACCGGTTAGGCTGTCGATGGAATTGTCGAAATACATCGAAAAAATAGCGAAAAAACAAAATACGTTGTCAATAATTGTTGAGTGAAACATGTATTTTCTTAGATTGAAAGTATTTCGTAAAATGGCGATAAGAGACAATAATTCTCAACATTTATTCATTCAGAAAGGTATTCAAAGTAATGTACGCTTTTCAAGGTGTTTTGTAAAACAGTGGTTCAAATAAAACAGAGAAACATGAAAGAAAACAAACAAAACAAAAATGAATCGATTATTCGTTGGGCTGTTTTCTAAATTTCTTGAATTGAATTCTAAATTACGATAAACATTTTAGGAATTTCTTTTTGTGACCTGATTGTGAATAATATGAATCATTTTATTAAATTTATTCCAAAATAAAGTTATTTTGCAGCATAACAAAAATTTTCGTAAACGTCATAAACGTAATGTTTTAGTTAATTTTCGGTGGTTTTTGTTAAGTTTTCATTGAAAGGGCAAGTACTAAAAATAATTAATGTGTTTTTTTTCTATAATTATTAATAATGAGCACTGATGAAGATTAAATTTAACATTCCTAATTTTTTGAGTAGAAATTTGTCTATGAATTTATAAATGTAGAACTATGTTCCGCCGAACTATGTAGAATGTGGATAACATAGGAGGTTGCAACACTGCAGGGTTTAGATACACCGTAGGGAAATCTCAGGTGAATAAACAAGTGGCACTAAAAAGTTTTTTCAAATTTCCCGGAAAATGTCAAGAAAAATTTTAAATTTTCAACATTTTTTTTTTGCAAAAAAAAATCTCATAGGCGTGTTTCTGGGGTTGAACTATACTACCAGTTAAAATGTTTGCACTTATTTCTGGGACACCCTGTATATTATGTTATATTATGTTTTTTGACTAAAAATTTAAATGATTTTTTTTTAAAAAATCTCAAATTTTCAAAATATTTTTTTGGCGAAAAATCTCATAGACGTGTTTCTGGGGTCGAAACACACTACCGCTAAAAATATACTTGCACTTATTTAAGACCTCACCTTGTATATATCTTTTCTTCTTAGTAGATATGTGATAAAATTTTCGTCCTAAAAATGTCTCTATCAAATATCAACCTATACTAGTGATGGGAAAAACCGATTAATTTCAATAATCGAGTACTCAAGTGTTTGATACTCGAGTGATTGCAATAACCGAGTGATCACTCGACCGAAATATCGCTCGTATTTAAAAATACGGTTTTCTCTCCGTCGCATGTTGTAAGTACTCGTTAACGCCAAGCGCCAAGCAGTAAGCTGCGAGCGCAGGGCACATATTCTTTCGGTAATGAACTTAGTAATTTAGTTTATTTCGAAGCATTGTCGATGTAGGTCGTAAAATTTTGTCTCTCGGATACGCAACGGATAAATATACCGGGTGCGTCTCAAAAGTGGATCACCCTTATAACTTTTTTTAATTTTTTTTAGATAAAACAACGAGATTTGGTATGTTAGTATATGACATAAATTAGGATTGATTGATATATTCAATTGTTTTCGGCCACTTCCGGTTTCACCGGAAATGACTGCAACTTTTGATTTTTAAATCGCACTCTCGGTATTTTTTTACTTTATTCGGTAGAAAATGACACTCTGAATAGAATGACATATCACAAGTCAACTTTTGACATTTTCGCATATGGTTTATTTGAAATTGTAACATGCGGTTCATAACGACAATTTGACTCGAAGTACCAAGAGTGTGGTATCAAATTATTCGTAAAAAAATTCTTTTTCGAAATATACTAGTGATCCACCCTCGTTCCATTTGAAAAAAATTGAGATATGATCAAAAATACGATTTGGACACCTTTTAACCGGCCAGGGCAAGACACTAAAAACATTAGATGATCAAATCTATTTTTCCAAGGCTTCTTGATTAAAAATTAGTGTTTTTCAACAATTTGTTTTTAAGCGAATATGTCAAAAGTTGACATATGATACGTCATTCTATTTAGAATGTCATTTTCTATCGAATAAAGTAAAAAAATACCGAGGGTGCCATTTAAAAATCAATTGATAAAAATCAAAATCAAAATTGTAGTAATTTCCGGTGAAACAGGAAGTGACAGAAAACAATTGAATACGTCAATCAATCCTAATTTATGTCATATACTAACATACCAAATCTCATTTTTTTTATCTAAAAAAATAAAAAAGTAATAGGGGTGAGTCACTTTTGAGACGCACCCGGTATATACGGCTTCGTATAAATTTGCTACCTGCAATGTATGTAGAAAATTCGCTCGGCTTTTTCGAGTAGATCACATTAAAATCGGATTTCAATTTATTTCATTCTAGGATCGCTTGGTACTCGCGCGTTCATAAATCGAGCGATGTCGGTTATTTCAATAACCGAGTACTCGAGCGAATTTTCGCTCGAGTTATCCCATCACTAATCTATACCGAGTACTTTTTAAAATATGCTAATTTTTAGACTAAATTTTATCTGTATTTAAAAAACTCGTCTAAATTTATAAAACATTAAATTGTTCATCCTTTTTAACTGGGAATAGTTTATGATACTATATTCTTTAGAAATAATCGCATAATAAAATATGCTAGACTTTTTGGTATATACAAGGTGAATAAAAACTAGATCTATCATTTTTCTCCGCTATTTCAAATGAAACACCCTGTATTTTATGTGATAAGTCAACATGCCTCTCAAGACTTTTTCTCTAATAGCGATATGCACTCACTGGCACGAAAAACGGGCACCTTAAAATTTTGATTTACCGGATGCGTCTCAAAAGCGGTTGACCCCCTACAATTTTTTTATATTTTCAGATAAAAAAACGAGATTCGGTATGTTAGTATATGACTTAAATTGGAATTGATTGTTTCAATTGTTTTCGGTTAATTCCTGTTTCACCGGAAATTACTACAACTTTTGATTTTTAAATGGCTCTTCAGTATTTTTTTTTACTTTATTCGATAAAAAATGATACCCTAAATGGAATGATGACATATCATATGTCAGCTCTTGACATTTTCGCATGTGGTTTAATTTAAATTGTAACATGCAGTTCATAACGACAATTTTTTTTCCAAATATTGCCCTCGTTCCATTTGAAACGTGAGTTATGATTAAAAACAGGATTTGGCCATCTTTTAACCAGTTATAGTACGAGAGCTAGCAACGTCGGGAAAACAAGTATTTTAAGACGTCTGGCTCTTTGATATATCTTTTATTATGCTCTCTGGAACAGCATGCGGCCCGTCTGGCTGCCGATACCCGTTGCGTTTACTACTGCGCATCCAAAGAAGATCCTCTATTTTTTACTTAGCGCTTTAAATTCTAGTATTGAATAAAAATCGAGCAAGTCTCCATTAGCTCGGCGCGTAGAGCTTTCGCCTATGACGCGAAGGTCAATGGTTCGATACTGGCTGGGGGTGTAACTTTTTTATTTTTTTTTTCGTTTATATTCTGATAGTAAAGTATTAAATATTTGCTTTTTTATCACCAAAACTTGATGGCGCTTATGGGTTTATGATCCGTAGTGGGTATAAGTAGAATTTGATACTTTCATTTGTTTTGAAGGATTATTGTAGTAATTAATTATTAGGCAGGTTTAGGATGGTCTGGCTGCCGCGCCGGTAGGTTGCGTTCATTACTGCGCATCACATGTGTACAGGGTGTCCCATTTTTGTGCGTTTTTGGGATTTCTCGTTTATAATTTTATTTTAAAGATTTAAACATAATATATAAAAATTAACATTTTAATGCTTTATTAAGGTAATTTCTGCCTGTCTTTCTTCAAAATTTTTTTTCAGCTGTTGTTTATTATTTTAATAATACTTTTTTTAACAGATTGTTATCTAAAAGCTACACAAGTTTATTTTCAGTTCAGTTTGTTAAGATAACGATGGAAAACAAAATTATCTGGTTAAATTAAATTAAATAAAATAATAATACTTTCTAAACAAGATTGATTAATGTTAATGTGTAGAAAATGCACAAATCTAGGGGTAAAATATTTAGTTACATAAAAAACTGGCAAAGTAATGTGAAAAAAAACGCATCATTGTATCTCCACTCATAAACGAGAAATCCCAAAAAACGCACGAAAATGAGACACCCTGTACCCATGCGCAGTAGTGAACGCCACCTACCGGCGCGGCAGCCAGACCATCCTAAACCTATCTAATAATTAATTACCACAATAATCCTTCAAAACAAATGAAAGTATCAAATTCTACTTATATACACTACGGATCATAAACCCATAAACGCTATCCGTTCTGGTGATAAAAAAGCAAATATTTAATACTTTACTATCAGAATATAAACGAAAAAAAATAAAAAAGTAGCAACCCCAGCCGGAATCGAACCACTGACCTTCGCTTCATAGGCAAAAGCTCTACGCGCCGAGCTAATGGAGACTTGCTCGGTTTTTATTCAATACTAGAATTTAAACCGCTAAGTAAAAAATAGAGGATCTTCTTTGGATGCGCAGTAGTAAACGCAACGTGTATCGGCAGCCAGACGGCCTGCACGCTGTTCCAGAGAGCATAATAAAAGATATATGAAAGAGCCAGACGTCTTAAAATACTTTCTCGAAAACGTTGCTAGCTCTTAGACTATTAGGACAAGACACTAAAACATTAGACGATCCAATCTGTTTTTCCAAGGCTCCTTGATTAAAAATTAGTGTTTTTAACACAGCCATGGCACTCTAGATTGAAATTTAAAATACGATGTTTTTTTAAGCGAATATGTAAAACTTTCACCAAAATGTCAATGTTTTGTGTTCCCTCGTATAATTGACAGATGGGAACTTTTATTTTCTATTTTCGAAAGAGATATAGTCTATAAAATGAATAACTTTGAATTTTGACCGTTATTTTTTACCAACATGGTAAATATAAAATTCCTCTATCCAAAAAGTTACTGATATTCTTTAAAATGAGTGCCTGAACGAATCAGATAGGTAACTCATTTTACTTTCGTGAAATAGAAAAGGAAAATAATAAAACAAGTGACAGTTCTTCCTCTTCTTGCAAAAATCAACGCGAAATGTCATAATTGACAAAAGTAAAATGTCATCAGCCTTTGACATTTCTAAATATCAGACCAATGCCGTCCCTAATAGAACAGCCTTGGAGCGAGATTTATGACATCACGCTAGTTAGATACCACGGATTAATAAATATGTTGTAGAATACATGGAAAACATAATTATTCCTCGTATTTTTGGTTTCTATTTTAAAAATGATATAGTTTACATGAAATATACATAATATACAGTTATTAAATACAATATATTATACCTATTTATAGTAATAAATACTTTGGCAAATAAACTAAGAACCATGCAAATGCAGCAAATGTTTTACAATATACAAATAATGAATAGGTACATAAGATAATGGGTAAAATGTAAAATATATTTTAAATTTTGGGGTTTGAAAATCGATCTAATTTAACAAGAAACATTCAATATCTACTAATAGTAATATATTATTATTTGCATTCACAAAATTTATATGTATATTTTGCAAGCTAATATAATGTTCGAAAAATTATATTTGCAAATAATACAATATCATAGAAAAAAAGGCGTCAGAGATGGCTATGAAATAAATATCGCTGTCATTTTATATGTAAAATTATTCTAAAATTTTTCATTTTCTTGGGATTTAGGTTCGGGAAAAACGCTGATTAAATTTTCATTTGGTTTTTCATTATTTTTTTTTGGTTAAAAAAAAACGTTATAGCTAACGTTTATCGCCTTCATCAGTGTTGTGTCATATGAATAAAATAGTGTCGAATATATTCCAAAAAATTACATATACCAGGAATAATTATGTTTTCCATGTATTATATTATAGAATAATTAATCCGTAGTATCTAACTAGCATGACGTCATAAATCTCGCTCCGAGGCTGTTCTATTAGGGATGGCATTGCATCAGCATGGCCGCAAGTTGCTAACCTAATAAAATTTACACTAGAAAAGCCCGCGGGAACTGTCAAATTCAAAGTTATTCGTTTCACAGACTATACTAAAAAGTCAAATAACTTAATTTTAACTAATAGCTACAAATTGCTTAAAAATTCATCAAAATCGGTCCACTAGAACACGATATACAGGGTGTTTCAAAAAACATGTTCCTTACGTAAAAATAAGATTTATTTTTCATATCAACGTAGATCCGATTCTGCTTTGTTTCGTAGCTACAGGGTGTTACAATCTTAATATTTTTTCGATTTGTTATAATTTTCTTCCAAGTACTTTTAGCGTTTCGAATAAAATTTTGAGGGTAAAAGTTACTATAAATGCAACATATTTTAAAGCTAAAAGAGTGTCGACATATTCACCAGGGACGTGCATATATGGGTTATCACTGGAATGTTTTTTGCCGTTTTTGCAGTTTAATGCCGATTAAAAGTTGTCTCTTCATATTTTGTCGATTTCGGTCTCCTTGATGAGATAAACGCATTTTTATTAATTTACCTTGATCCAAGTCTAATAGCAACCTTTAAAAAAATACTATCATTACTTGCGAAAGTTTTAAATAAGTATTCATTTCCTCATCAAAAAATATGAAAAAAAATCCTATAAACATACATATGGAAATGCATAGTTTTAGAGCTACAGGACGAAAAATTTTTAAAATTAGGTCTTTTGTAATTATCTTAAATACCATTATTTTTTTATTTGAAAATATCAAGAGATAATTTATAATTGGCATTAAACGACCTACACGATTTTGATATCAAAAGAAAAAAGTCAGTGGCGTACATTTTTTTTTGAAAACTATTCCAGTGGTGACCCATGTGCACGTCCCTGATGAATTTATCGACACTTTTTTAGGATTACAATATATACACTTATAGTAACTTTTACCTTCAAAATTTCATTCGAATCACTAAAAGTACTTGGAAGAAAATTATAATAAATCAAAAGATTATTAAGACTTTAACACCCTGTAGCTACGAAACAAAGCAAAATCGGACCTATGTTGATATGAAAAATAAATCTTATTTTTACATGAGGAATCTCCCCACGAAAGATGGTACATGTTTTTTGAAAGACTCTGTGTAAAATTTTAAAATACATCAAAATTTTAAGGTGCCCGTTTTTCGTATTGGTGAGTGTATTTTCAAATTTTTCCGTACTTTTAGATTAAACGACATCAACAAACCGAAAATTGAAAGTATCTTATTGCGAAAAATGGAAAAGTTAATATCTGACAGTCCTCCATCTGAAAGAAAACGACACGCCATCTGTGTTCTCAAATCGATAATGTCGTTCAATGAAGATTTTCCCGCCTTTTCCGTAGATTTAAATACCTGCGAAAACATAATCGGTTTCATGAAGGAAACTTGCAAGAAAGAGGAACCCTACGAGGATCAGGACTTTTCCTTAATATCGTCCCTTCTAAAATACAATTCCCTTAACCTAGACAACTCTTTAAAAATATGCGATGATGATCGACTCCTTGAAGTCATCAAGCAAATGGGCAAAAACAAATTGACATCTTGTATTTTTTATAAATCTATAGATGAGTTTATTGCTAAACAGCCTCGAACAGAATTTGGAGAACGTTTGCTAGATTTGTATTTGTCAGATTTTTTTGGAGAGATCATTAAACAACAATACTACATAACAACAATTGTACCACGTCTCTTACAGAACGAGCCTTCTGTATTTAAAAAGTATTTACACTCGATTCTTAAAAATAATCTTGCACTTGATTATTAAAATACAGAGTAATAAAAAACTACAGTCATTTAGGCTTAGACCGACAAATAATAAACCATTTTATACCTCTGGTTAACGCTCCAAACGATAACGAAAATCTTGTTTTTAAAGCCTTGTCAAATTTAATGGACACAAAAGAATACATTGATATAATTCAAACTTATTTACCTAGAGAAAAGAAACTGAATTTAAGGTCAGAGGATGACGCGAGTTTGTATAAGATTCAGGTTCAGGTAATCAAAAGTTTGAAAAATTTGAGCGAACCTCTTCAACTAATACCTGTATTACCCACTCTATTACAAGGAGACTATCTTCAAATTAGTTTAAAACTGTTGTACAGAATCCTGAATCAAGTTAACGAAAACGAAGCTTCTGGTTATGTAGAAAGTTTGAAAAAACAACCGGTATCGCTAAGGAAACATTCAGTGTCTCTAGGCTTTATTCTGCTACCTATTAATGAAGCTGTCAGTCTGTTTAATGCTGTATCAAAGACCGAGAACAATATTTCTGTAAAGAAATACTTGCTTCGGTCGATTCTGAAGTATTTCATTAGGAACCCCTCGCCTTTCCTACTTGACATAGTCGTTTCTAACCTCGAAAATATAACAGTCAATGATGATGAACTACTGCAAGAAGTAGCAGAGTCTGTGAACAAAGTGCCTAACCGATATAAGTGTGGTTATGTAGAAAAAGTTTGGGATAGATTCGAGGAATTCAATGATGACCTTAAGTTGACTAACAGTAAGCTGACAGTTTTGAGGTTTATTAACCAGTTAAATCTGGATCTTTTTTCGAATTTTGATGAAAGATTTTGCGAAAAAGTTATAAAAAAATACTTTCTTACCGAGAACACGACACTGAATGTCAACGGTTTCGTGCTAAGGTATCTTGTAGCGAATCAGACAGAGAGTAGGTTTAAATTTGTGTTTGAAATTATTAAAAATTATAAAAACAAACATGATAAGACAATGAAACTTTTGTTTACATTCTTTAATTCAGCTTGCAACAAATTTGACTTGTATGATGTCAGTTTTTTGAAAACTTTCACTCAGTACTGGCATGAAATTTTTACTCAAACCGAACATTTTTCTGGGTACTGTGACTTAAAGCTTCTGGAAATATACAGGAATAATATTTCAAACGTTCAAGCATTCGCAAAGGATGTTAATGAGTACTTTGAGGCGCTCACGTCACAGTATGGTCACTACATCAACTTGTTTTTGTTTGAAAGTGTTAACTCGCTGTTTTCAAGGATACATAGTGGAAATAGTGACGATTTTACGTTGGAGAAATTCGCTGTACATTTGTTGAAAGCGAACATGTCAGAAATGAATTGTTTCATTGCGATGAACATTGTAACACAAGAGTATAACGACTTCGAAACAAATGAAGTGATAGAGATACTAAAAGAACAAAAAAATCATATTGGGGAAGTCTTTTATTATTCGTTATTGAAGCAATATAGTGCCTTTTAAATGCGCCTTATAATTTAAAGGTAGGGTTTACCAAAAAAAGTCCCAAAAAATTGATGCAGTATTATTTTTTTTTATTATTAAATAATTAAGTTTTTTTCCTTGTCCTTGTATGTTTATGAAAATGGGTACGAAAACGTAAAATCAATTTCTGAACAACTTTTCTCTTTAGCTGAAAGAAAATTCTTATATGACACATCATGTTAAAATTATTGCTTATTGATTGTTTTTAGCATGCTGAATTAATTGCCCATTACATTTTTTGCGTTAATTCGATAAGTTTTCTCCATTTATTACACACTTTTTGGTACACCCTGTATGTTGGTTAGGTGACAATAATCCATACTATACCGGGTGTCTCTCAATAGTGGCTCATCCCTATAACTTTTTATTTTTTCAGGTAAACAAAAAGGATTTGATACGTTAGTATATGACATAAATCAAGATTGATTGACGCATTCAATTGTTTTCGGTCACTTCCTGTATAACCTTTGATTTTTAAATGGCACCCTCGGTATTTTTTACTTCTTCATTCGATAGAAAATGACACTCTGAATAGAATGACATATCATATGTCAACTTTTGACATTTTCGCTTAAAAATTTGTATTTTAAATTTCAATCTAGAGTTCCATAGCTGTTTTAAAAACACTAATTTTTAATCAAAGAGCCTTGGAAAAATAGATTGGATCGTCTCATGTTTTCAGTGTCTTGTCCTGGTCATTGTCCTTTATGACATTCTGATCATAGTGTCATTTTCTCTCTCCAAAATATCCTATATGGGTATTTCGCCACTGCAAGAAAAATCTACAGAATAAAATAGTTATTTTTAAGTTTATCTCTTTCCGAAACGTTAAGCATTTTTTTGTTCGATAGAGGCAAATTTGTATATCTGTAAACCGAACTGCTGACAAGTAGTTTCCGTTTGGATTAATGCAGAAGTGTACAAAAAATAACTTTTTTTATTTTGTAGATTTTTCTTGCAGTGGCGAAATACCCATATAGGATATTTTGGAGAGATGAATCCGCCACATAGGTATAGACATTTTTGTCATTTTCTATCGAATAAAGTAAAAAATAAGGAGGGTGTCATTTAAAAATCAAAAGTTGTAGTAATTTCCGGTGATACAGGAAATGAACGAAAACAATTGAATACGTTAATCAATCCTGATTTATGTCATATACTAACCATGGTATACTAACGTAGGTACCAAATCTGTTTTTTTTATCTGTAAAAATAAAAAGTTATAGGGGTGAGCGACTTTTGAGAAACACCTGGTATACAGCCTAGGGCTTTAGAATGAAATAGTTTGTTATTGTTTAAAATGTTTTACATTATAATAGGTATAAATATTTTAATTTTTTGAATTAAGGAAAATATATTTTTATTTTTCAAAATACTGTATACTTCTAAAAGTGGTTAAATTTAAAGAGGATCTAGAATTAGAGAAAATATGTTTTATTTAAAGTATTTTATTTTTTTATTTTGATAATTTATAGTCTAGTGATTATTACATATTGTGATTACCAGAATAAAGATATGATAACTTTAATTTTTTATTACCGTCACTGTCCTTATTATCGTCATATTTCGATTTAAAAAAAATAAGAAACTCTTCTTTTAACTTTTTTTAAAAAGCGTTATTTACGGCCAAACTATGAGAGATATCGAGGAACGGAATAGGGCATTCAATAAAGAATTCAACCCTTTATAAGGGTGCACAATTAGGGCGCAATCGGAAGCCAAAAAAATTTTTCAGCAAAAATAAGGGTATAGTCTGTGAAACGAATAACTTTGAATTTGACAGTTCCCGCGGGCTTTTCTAGTGTTAATTTTATTAGGTTAGCAACTTGCGGCCATGCTGACGCAATGCCCTCTCTAATAGAACAGCCTCGGAGCGAGATTTATGACGTCACGCTAGTTAGATACTACGGATTAATAAATATGTTGTAGAATACATGGAAAACATAATTATTCCTCGTATTTTTGGTTTGTATTTTAAAAATGATATAGTTTACATGAAATACATAAAATACAGTTAATAAATACAATATATATGCCTATTTATAGTAATAAATACTTTGGCAAATAAACTATGAACCATAGAAATGCACCAAATATTTTACAATATACAAATAATGAATTATACATAAGATAATGGGTAAAATGTAAAATATATTTTAAATTTTGGGGTTTGAAAATCGATCTACTAGTAGTGATGTATTATTATTTGCATTCACAAAATTTATATGTATATTTTGCAAGTATCAATGTTCGAAAAATTATATTTGCAAATAATACAATACCATAGGCAGTAGATATTGAATGTTTGTTGTTAAATTTGATCGATTGAAACCCCAAAATTTAAAATATATTTTACATATTACCCATTATCTTATGTTCCTATTCATTATTTGTATATTGTAAAACATTTGCTGCATTTGTATGGTTTATAGTTTATTTGCCAAATTATCTTATGTATAAATATAATATATATATATATATATATATATATATATATATATATATATATATATATATATATATATATATATATATATATATATATATATATATATATATATATATATATTTATTAACTGTATATTATGTATATTTCATATAAACTATATCATTTTTAAAATACAAACCAAAAATACGAGGAATAATTATGTTTTCCATGTATTCTACAACATATTTATCTATTAATCTGTAGTATTTAATTGCGCGACGTCATAAATCTCACTTCGATGCTGTTCTACTAGAGACGGCATTGGTCTGATATTTAGAAATGTCAAAAGCTGATGACATTTTACTTTTGACAATTATGACATTTCGTGTTCATTTTTGCAAGAAGAGGAAGAACTGTTACTTGTTTTATTATTTTCCTTTTCTATTTCACGAAAGTAAAAAGAGTTATTTATCTGATTCGTTCAGGCACTCAATTTAAAGAATATCAGTAACTTTTTTGATAGAGGGATTTTATATTTGCCATGTTGGTAAAAAATAACGGTCAAAATTCAAAGTTATTCATTTTATAGACTATACTGCCTTACCTCATTTTTCGCCAGAAATTATGTTTGTCTCCGATCGCGCCCTTGTTTTGCGCCCTTATAGAGGGTTGAATTCCCTATCGAATGCGCTATTACGTTCCTCTCTATCCCTTATAGTTTACGAAATATTAGGGCTTTAATTTTTGAATTCCCCGAATTGCTAGAGATAGCAGAAATATCGTTGATCAGTGCGATCAGTGTTATTTTTATACCGTATGATCGAATAAAAACGGCGTCAGCGATGGCTATAAAATGAAGATCGCTGTCATTTTATATGTAAATTTATATAGGAAATGCCATCGATCGTTATTTCCAAGCCAACTGGACGCCGTTTTTATTCGATCATACGGTATAATATGGTACTAAATTTACTCTTTACCTATTCGCCCTTCTGTGTTCCTGATAGAAATCGGCGATTTTTGACCTGGTCTAAAAATTTTCGTGCGGTCTTTGACAAAAATTTAATTTTCTCGGACATGTATCAGGAGTACATAAGAACGACTAGGTAAATATTGATATTTAATTTACTCCTTACCTCCTCACACTTGTGTTCCTGATAGAAATCTGTGATTATGGACAAGGATTAAAAATGTTCATTCAATGTTTGTTAAAAACTGAATTTTCTCGGATTTGTATCAGGAGTACATAAGGGCGAGGAGGTGAACTAGGTATTATTTTTATATAAAATACTGCCTAATTCCAGAACAACTTGTTAAGTTGTTTAGTATTAGGATCTATTATTTTTGTGATAATTAAATGACTTTTTCTTTTTGTTCAAGATTAGACAGTATTTCTAATACTATGCATATTTTGGTTTAAAAAAACTCAGTTATTATTAATTATTATTTATTTACATGTTATATTTTATTAACAAAAAGTATATTAAAATCTAAGGTGTTGATGGAATGCTGCATGATATCTATGTGGAGGTAAATAAATCTTCTGGCTACCTTTATGGAAAGTCTTGGTGCTCTAAGGAAAATATAAAAAAATAATTAATTATTTGTTCACTAACAAGCTTAAAACCAGTATTACTATCAAATTTATTTGTCAAAGATATTATTTTAACAAAAAATTTGACAGTGTAATATGCGTGGTTTTATAAATTTTTGATCAAATATCTTTTATAAAATATCTTTGACAAAGAAATTTGATAGTGTAATAATGGCCTTACTAAGGCCAGTATTGTACTATCAGTAAAACAAAAATGAATTTTAAGAAAAAAATACATTTCTATAATATATGATTGGTAGAACACATTATCATAGAATTATTGTATATTAACGGTGTCCCATTTTGATTGAAATCATACGGTATCTCCGTTATTCGTGAAGATAGAAGGGTGCGGTTTGCACATACCTGTGCCACTTTTTTGTCAAATGGCAGATGCCGTAAACAAAATTTTCATTGCCCTCTTCGTTTTTGAGCTACAGGGTCTTTTTGAAAATTTTGCAATTTGGGACACCCCCCGTATCTCTGTTATTGTTAAAGATATTTAGACGGTGAAAACGGTTTATTGTAGAACTTTTTACGTAGAATACAGTGGTGTAGTGTGTTATTCTACGAAAATATTTTTAAAAATATGAACAAAAGTTATATTTTATTAAATGGAACACCCTGTATATTTATGAATTATATGATCTGGCTTGTTATAAGCTTCTCAAAAATATATAACACTCTATATTCGTTTTCATTATTTAAGGCAATATTTAAAAAAAACATATTAAAAGATCATTTTTTTAGTAGGCCATGATTGATAATAAAAGAAACTAAAGAATTATTAAGAGTAAATACTGCTATCTGTCTCTTGTTTTATTTTGAGAGTCACTAATTAATTCTTTGTATATTAGGGAAACTTAAATCTCTACCGCTATTTGTATATCTTGGGAGCTATCGTATCGGAACTTTTAAATATTCCTTTAGCTAATTTACGTGAAATATACTTTCAGCAAGATGGGGCTCCCCCTCCCTCACAACTTAACTTGCAACGAAAATATTAGAATTTTGTTAAATTATTATTTCTCAAATCAATGAATTGAAACCAATGCAATGTACCCATATGGTTGCCTCCCTGATTCCCGGATTTGTCTGTTCTCGATCTCGGATTTTGGGGATTTTTGAAATATGAAATATATCGTGGCAACTAATACGATGTTGAACACCTGAAAAATGCTTCAATAATGCAAGCTTTTAAATATTTGCAAACCCATCCCATTATAATAAATTCCGTTATAAAAAAGAGAAAAATATATTTAGAGGTTCAGTGGTAACAGTTCAAAAGTAAAATATATCAATTCCAAATAAAATTTTAATATGTGCATGTCTGTTTTAGTAAATACCATTTTGATTTTGTTATTTATCACAGCCTACTAATAAGAAAATGATGTATTTTAAATATTGTAGTAAATAGTGAA